AAAAACAAAACAAAATTTTGTTCTCAAAATAAGATCAGTTTTTTATATTACTTTAATTTATATTAATTATTATTTTTTGGAAACAAATGATTAAAAAAAACGCTTAGTTGGATATTTTATATTCACCCTGTATAAAATAAATTTAAAAAGAAAACACTCAGCAGGATACTAATTTTTTGAGTCTGGCTTACGAATTACCGGTTGTTTCTTTAAAATATTTTGTAATTGGATCATTTTTCTTATACTGTCCAATTTTTAACTTGAACTGAAATTTTTAATCGGAAATTTGTGATTTAAAGAAAATATACACAAATATGCAATATTTCCTAAAATATACACGAAGTTGCCAAAATATGCATTTTTTATTTATCTTATTTTAATCAAATGTGCATAGAAAACTTACAATTTTGTTGATATACCTCTTAAGAACAAATATGCATTTTGAATATATTTCGAGCGTTAATTATCAACCTAATTTCAAAGTCATTCTAAATTTAATAATTGAAATTTCATTCCAGATTTTAAAAATATCAAATATCTCATATCTCTCTAAGGATAATTGTTTTAAAGTAAAGATATTTAAGAAACTTTTTCTACGTTTTCAAGAATTAGTTTATAGGTTTCACAGACAAGATTCCATATAAGTGAACAATATTCTACTTTTCATCTACAATTTTCAAAATTAAATATTAAGTATTAAATTGTTTACAGTTGCGTAATATTTGATGTAGAATTAATATCTACAGGATGTTCCCCTGTACAAACTTAAACAAATTGTACAAACAAACTGTACAAATTTAAACAGGTGATAGGATATTTAATTCTAAGACAAAAGTTTCCTATACACATGTATCGAAAAATGCTTGGTAAGGGAGCTACACCCCCTGAAAAGGGGCTAATAGGTTTTTGCTAATATTTCGATAAACTATCGAACTTAAGATTCTGTTGCTGAAAGTACCGAGAAACTCAAGCCAAAATAAATAGGGTATTTTTTTACCTTAGATTCCCCCAGTTTCGTACGCCCCTGATTAAAAATTTCGACATTTGATGTTTGAATTCGTTTATGTGTATAAAGGTTTTTATCTGTACCAAATTTTGTAATTTTATCTTAAATGGTTTCTGAAATATTAGCAAAAACGAATTAGCCCCCTTCCAGGGGGTGTGGCTCCCTCACCAAGCATTTTTCAATACATGTTTACAGGAAACTTTTGTCTTAGAATTGAATATCCTATCGCCTGTTTAAATTTGTAACAATAAAAACGGAACACCCTGTATGTTCTGTAAAAGAAAGCTTCGAATCAAATAAAATGCCTAGATCAAATAGATAGAGGGCCTAGTCTTCAACTTACCCGTCATTTTTGTTGATCATGCACATGTTTATGGTAAAAATTGCGTGACTCCTGGAGCTCTGTGCATTCATATTCGTGGCCCCTGTAGCTCGACTGCTGGATCCTCGGATTAGGGCTTCAAAGACACGTTGGGTGCAGTCAACATGCACTTGCGTTAACCCTGGGATCACAATCCCTTTATTTGCGTCTTCCCGAATGTCAAGAACGCACTGTTCTCGACTTTTCTCAGCTAATAAGTCGTACAAAGACTCTTGATACAGTTCCACAAAAGACACAGTCACAGTAATGTCATGCAAAAAGTTCTCTCTCACACAATTAAAAATTTCCGTTACTGCCCTAGGAATGACTCCCATCTCGCCTTCCCCATTGTATGTCGTACCCATCGTGTGTGTTTTCCCCGAGCCCGTCTGGCCGTATGCTAATACTGTTATGTTATAACCATTAAATAGATTCTCAATCATGCGTTTAACACACGTTTCATAAACATAGTCTTGGGTCGTAGTTGGGTCAAAAACGTAATTATAAGTAAAGGCTTTATCCGTGTCTTTGATTTTTACTTGATTTATGCTGGGATAAACTTCAAATACATCTTTGCAGCCTTTTGAGATCTCAGAAGGGACGAGAGGTCTTATTCTTAGGGCAACTTGCACTGACTTGTCTGACATCTAATAAACGAAAAATGTATTAAAACAGATGGATTGTGGTTGTTGAAAACTTACTTTTTATTATATAAACGAAAATACACTTAAAAATATTATCACAGAGAAATACGACCAACTATTACAAACAAGTTTTAACTTTTGAGACGGTTGAAGAAAGTTGAAAATTGAACTGACGAATCAGGTAACTGGATAACCAAAAGTTGTATATCCGTTTGCTGATTGGCTGAATCTGTGACGCGGCAAAGTTTTGCATTTTGAAGTGAAAAGACAATTTTAAGGTAAATTAAGTCGCTAGGATCGGAATGAAATTTTTGGTTTTGGATAATTTCAAAAACCTATTTGGGAGAGCTTAATTTTGTCCAAGTTAAAAATATCCAAAGTATTTCTGTTCAACGTAATATGAGCATCCGTATTTTTGTCCCCCGTAAAAATGTCCAAAGATTTTGGTGTTCTTTGCAGTACCAACCTGACAACAAAATTACCAAGTAGTTTTTATGAATTTTATAAAGTAGTTTTTCTTAATTTAATGCAATTTTTTATGGCAACGGTCGATATAATTTGCTGTTTTTATACAGTCATTTGATATCAGTCAATTTTTCTATTTATTCTTGTGCAAGGGTCATGTCTGTCAATACTACCAACACCCAAACATGTTCCTAAATCCTATATCGTTGAATTATTTTACGGTGGACAAAATTATGTTGGACCAATTTACATTGGATTATTTTACTTTGCACAATTTTGTATGCGTCCACATATTTTTGATTTAAAATTTTTATAGAGATAAAAACGTTTTTATTATTGATTTATTGAGGTTATGTAACTTTGTTTTGTCAGTATCGTTTCTGTTCCGGTGAATTTTAGCCGATTTTTGTATTTTTTTATTAAGTAAAGCCTAAACTATTGATTAAGATTTATTGACAATGCCACGTGTGCTTATTATGCAGAATTGTTTTCATAAATTTTAAAATATAGATAAGCCACACTAAGAAACGTCGACGTGTCGAATTTTATCAATTGCAAAATGCTAAAAGCAGTTATACTAATTGGGGGACCCCAAAAAGGTAACACAATATTTGTACTGAACGTAGAATAACCCTAGACTTTTATAGGCACCAGATTTAGGCCCCTTTCTTTGGATATACCAAAACCCTTATTCCCCGTTGCGGGATTACCAGTAATCCAGCATCACATTGAAGCTTGCGTTGCAGTGGCAGAATTGAAAGAAATTCTATTAATTGGATTTTATCCGACCACGTTAATCCAGCAATTCGTCAATGATTTACAGCACAGATATAATATAACTATAAAGTAAATTTCAATTAATCTAATTAACTTCAAGATGTCATAAAATCGGTAATTTAGGTATTTGCAAGAGTTCACAGCCTTGGGGACCGCAGGGGGCTTGTATCATTTCCGCGACCAAATCCGCTATGGAAACCCTGACGCATTTTTCGTCATGAACGGAGACGTTTGCGCCGATTTTCCCCTAGTTGAACTTTACCAATTTCACAAAAACTTGAACAATTCATTAGTAAGTTGGCCACGAAGATAAAGTCTGTTTTTTTTAAATGGAAGTCAAAATTTTGGTGAAAAAATTGGTAGCAGCTTGTCTCCATAGCCACAAATTTTGTTTGCTCTTTGTTTTTGTCCCTAGAAATTTTGTTAAAAAATTATGGTTATGTGTTCAAATTGAGATGTTGTCAAAATTTTGACTTGTGTCTGTTTGCTCTTTGAAAGCGCTATAATTGAATACCTGAGGACAGACATCATTACCTAAGGTCCAAAGACAGAATTCAGTGCTAATAATTTTGACAGAAACACACCGCAAGTAAGTACAATGTTGTGGACAAAAATGAGATCCTTGCTACAAAAACTTTGAAGAAAAAGGATGTATATACAGAAAAAAGTTATTTAGCAAAAGATACAAGTAGGTATTATGATGATTGGCAATAAATTTTGTGTAATTGATTGAAATGAGCTCAAAGTTGATGCATTTTATAAATTCTTCTTCAGCTTTAGTTTCAAAATTGTTACTTTTTCAACTCGTTTCTGAAAAACGATGCACAAGACACTAATTTAATTGCGTTCTTTCCGAAGTTCTTTCTCATTCATGTTTATTTTGTATTCTTGTCAATTTCTTGCTAAAAATTGAGAATGTTTAGCAAACTTGCATTACAAATTGCGTCTACATTTTAACGGGCCTTTTTTCTAACTTCCTGCTTGCGAACTATTCGTTTCCAAATTTCGAAAAACTGTTAGTGTACCGAATTTGTTTCTTTTTTGGTGTTTCGTCTCTAAATTTTCTTAGACGATTTTTTGTGTTGACGTTTAATGACATATTGTTTTCAAATTAATTCAAAAAACCGGAACTGCCAACATCCTTTATTAAAATTACCATGAATGAATTTACTAGTGATGCCAACGTTAAGACTGTTTGGCATTTTCATTAAAAAAAAAAACAGACTTTACCAATTTGTATAACAAAAGTATCTTCAGGTGACTATAATGGGCACCGAAGCCACCAGACAGCAATCGTTGCACTACGGTTGCATGGTTTTGAATAAAAACACACACGAGGTGACCCACTACGTCGAAAAGCCGAGCTCCTACGTCTCCACGTTGATAAATTGCGGCATTTACGTCTTTTCCTTGGACATATTTACCACAATCGGTGACGTTTTTATCGCCAAACAGCAAGACTCCAGTCGTGAGCCTGGTTTTATCCAATTGGAGAAGGAAATTTTGGCCCCTTTGGCCGGCACTGGAAAATTGTTTGCGCTACAGGTGAACAAATGGTGGTCGCAATTGAAAACCGCAGGTTCTGCGATTTACGCCAACCGACACTATTTGGAGTTGTACAGGAGTAAACATCCAGAACGGTTGAGACACCCCAATTCGGGGGATGGTTGCACTATTTATCCCGACGTACATATAGACCCCACTGCACAAATACACAGTTCAGCCGTTGTAGGTATTTGTATTGAAATCAGTAAAAAAATTCAATTCGAGATTAGATAGGTCCAAATGTTAGCATCGGTTCGGGGGTGGTTATCGGACCGGGGGTTCGAATAAGAGAGAGTATTATTTTGGCAGATGCCGTTATCAATGATAGAAGCCTGATTTTGCATAGTATAATAGGGAGGAATTCGAAGATTGGGACTTGGGCACGGGTTGAAGGGACTCCTTCAGATCCAGATCCCAATAAGGCCTTTGCGAAAATGGAAAATCCGCCCCTGTTTAATAACGACGGACGCTTGAATCCATCGATTACCATTTTAGGTGAATTAGATTTAGGAAAGAATGGGGGCTTAAGGTTTTTTTGTAGGGTGTTTCGTGAGTGTGCCATCGGAAACCATTCTCTTGAATTCGATTGTTTTGCCAAATAAGGAGCTGTCAAGAAGCATAAAGAATGAAATAATTTTATAATAATTTAACTGTATATTGTACCTTTTTTAAAATAAATACATTTGTAAAATATTTTTTCGGTCTACTATTACAAAATAAATAATTAAGTTACACTTATAATTATGGATTTTTTATAGCCACCAAGGTAAATAAATCAACACCGAGGTACATTGACGGACACGAAATTTTGGACGATTTGTCATTCGACTGATATAAAAATGTAAAACGGGCCTTAGGCAACTAACCTCACTTTCGGTTTTTGTAATTTTTATCCTGAGAGCGAGAGAAAAATGACAACAAATCAAAATAATTTATTGATCTTATATAAAAACACGTATTTCTGGCATTATTGTTTCGGAAAATCGATGCCAAAAGTAAATTTCAACTAAAACTTTCAAATTTTAGTTTCAAACGTCAATGATAATGACAATAAAGCGTGGCTTACATTGACATTTTCTGAACTGTCATAAATTTGATGTCCAAAATTTCGTGTTCGCCAGTGTATTAGGACTTTAAAAGGACGCATACAAAATTATCCAAAGTAAAATAATCCAAAGTAAAAGTCTCCAAGGTAAAATAATCCAACGTAAAATGATGCAAAGAAAATATAATTGTCCACCGTAAAAAAGTCCAACGATTTAGAAACATGTTTGGGTGTTGGCAGTATTGACAGACGTGGCCCCTGTGCAAGAATAAAAAGAAAAATTGACTGATATCAAACGACTGTATAAAAAACAGCAAATTGTATTGACCGTTGTCATAAAAAATTGCATTAAATTAAGAGAAACTACTTTATAAAATTCATAAAAACTACTTGGTAATTTTGTTGTCAGGTTGGTACTGCAAAGAACACTAAAATCTTTACATTGAACAAAAATACTTTGGTTGTTTTTACTTTGGATAAAATTACGTTTTGCTGTTTTGGACATTTTTACTTTTGACAAAATTGAGCTCTCCCCTTTAGAGAGGTATAAAAGTTCAATTAAAGCACTCATTTGAATGTTGAATTGATTTTTAAGTTGCTCATAATTATTATATGGAGCGATCAAAATAATTTGTAATCGAGTCATCTTTGAATCCGAAAACGTTTGTCTATGAAACGTCAAATAAAATGACAAGTCGAAAGATAAAACGGCAAAATGGGCTGGAACACAGATTATAATTATGGATTTTTCATAGCCACCAAGGTACATAAATCAACACTGAGATATTAAGGATTTAGAGAGGTATAAAAGTTCCTTTAAAGCACTCACTTGAATGTTGAATTGATTTTTAAGATGCTCATAATTATTGTAGTTTTAAATCCACTATAAATTCTTTATGTAACATTAAAATTAAAACAAAAAAACATTATGAGAAATAGGATTTCGGTTGCCCAGGCTTCGATCTGATGAAACTTCGTGTTTATGGCGTCGTGGTTTGGTGTTAAAAGTCGCCGTGAAATTTACGGTTACGCTGATAATATTTATTTGTGATTTGTATTCGTTTTGTGTAAAGTGTCTTATTTTCCCTACTGTTGCGGTAGTTAATTGAGTATTCAGTAAGTGTATTTTCACATTTTGAATTTACTTTTGTAAACTCAACGCCCCTAATAAATTGCATTTCCACCTCCGCCCATTACGGCAAATGCTACGTGGCCCCTAAAATTGACCATTTTCATTATTTTTGACACGGATTTGGGCTAAATATAGCTCAAAACTTAACACGGATATGAATTTCTACAGCCTAATTCATTTACTTTCGTAATTTTTAAAATATTTTGTTAGATTACGTCCACCGACGAATCGTAAAAATAACTAATTTATGCATTTATTATTAGATCTAAGTCAATATTTTTATTTAATTTAGATATGGATTTTCAAATACCATTCGTTTTCGTGTCTCTCTTCTCACTCGCAAGTGTCCTATTGATATTTGTGTATAAATTTGGAATCAAAGAAAAAAGTTATGAAGAGGCATTGGCTGAACAACGCCAACAAAATCATATCCTGTTAGGTGCCAAACCTAAACTTAAGGAGAAAAAGAACAAAAAGACCTCAAAGAAGGTTAAAGAAAAAATCAATCTGGGTGAAAATGAAACGGTTGAGGAGCCGGAATCAGAAACTAACCAGAAAAATATGGAAAACCAGAAGAAACTTCACGTGGAGTTTAAAGAAGTTACAGAAGAAGTATCGGTTAAACCACCAAGTCCACCAGCAAAGGTATGTCATTTTCCCAAAAACCCATTGGTCCAAATGAAAAAAATCATTTTCAGAAACAGTCAAAGAAAGAAAAAGTTCGCCCAATTTTGGTCAAAAAAGATAAACTTGAAAACGATGTAGAAACAGTAGCTGATGAAGTCCCAACTCAAACCAATCATTTTGAAGAACTGCATCCTAAAGATGATTTTGAATTAAAATTCCATTCCATTAGCGTAAGTTACGAAATTTTGTAATGTAAATTTTGAATTATCGTTTGAAGGTTGAAGAGACTCCAAATCCCGATAAAAATGTCGAGAATAATTCGCATAAAAAGCAACCAGAGACGGAAACCACTCCTTTGTATAAAGAAAACCATCCACAAGCCGTTACTTCATCCATTAATGGTTTTATCAGTAACACCGGAAAAGAAAAGAAGAAGAAAAAAAGCGAGTTTAACACTTTGCAACAACTTGGTTCGTTAATAATTGTTTCTTTAGACAGAAATATAAATTTTCTTTTAAAGGTGATAGTAATGGCCCCAACTTGTCGCTCCTCCTCAACTTGGTGCGTAAGGCTGAATTGTCTCGTTCTGAGGTTCAGATACTTATTGATCTCTTACTGAACAAGCAGCATGAGGCTCCCGCGGTTTTGGACGAATGGACTGAGGTAAAACTGAAAAAATTGCCTAACAAAATAATCATTTTTTTATTTTTTAAATACATGGTAGGGCAAAACCGATCCAGTCCAAAAACTCAAAAAACAACTAGCAGAGAAAGAAAAGTTGCTACAAGAGGAACAACAAATCGCCACAAGTGCGCAAGCTAAACTTCGTGAAATTCGCAACGAACAACAAGCTGAGAAATCACGCCTTCAACAAAAAATTAGAAACATGGAAGAAATAGACCAGAAAAAACAACTAGAAGCAGGGAGACTCCACCAACAAGTGCAACAGTTGCAAGCACAACTGAAAGATGAAGTGCTCAAGAGTCACAAATTGAGGGAGGAACACGCAGCGATTCAAATTCAAAGACAACAAATCGAAATTAGGTTGAATCAAGCACAGGAAGTAAGGGGATTCTAAATCATTGAAACATTACTCTTTTTTTTTTTCTAGTCGGAAGTTATAATAAATCGGTTGCAAACCGAAGTGCAAGAAATGGGGGCGCTAAATAATCAATTGCGTATGGAATTGACTCGTATTACTGAGGAAAATTTAGTAGAGAAAGAACGCAGCCAGTCGTTCATTTTGCAGTTGAGTAACTTCCAGAAGGAATTGGAGCAAAAAACTGACCGAAATCGACAATTGGAGGTTCAGTGGAATTTTCTATAATCGACTGTGTAATCAAAATTGATTTTAGGAGACCCGTTTGAAGTTGGAGCGCGATTTGGACGCAATTTTGAAGCAAGACAATGAATATAAAGCTGAAATTTCACGTCTGAGTAGCGTTCTTCAGCAACAAAATGAAGAAATCAGAAGAATGGAACATGGAAAGAAGCAACATCTTGACGAGTTACAGAAACAAAAAGATGAAACAAACAAAGTAATTACTTAAATGAGTTGTGTTTTGTTTAAATAAAGTATTTTTTCAGATTAAAAATGACTTAAGGAAAGCGCAGGAAGAAACTGCTCAGTTGCAAATGTCGCACATGAACGGATCCTTGCAAGAAAACAAACAACACGAAGTGGAAATTTTAAATCTTCACAACGAATTAACATCAGTCAAAACAAAGTTGCATGAGGTTGAAAAACAGAGTGAAAATGAGTTAAAAGTATCAAATGAAATTGCGGAGAAGTTGCAGAAAAAAGTGGACGAGTTGCAACTAAAGTGTCAAGAGGAAAAGACTAAATTAGAGGAACAAAAAATGAAAAATAACGTAAGTGGATTTAGTGTGACTAAAATGTAGTGATATCTAACATTTATCAGGAGTTAAGAACAAAAAATTGGAAAGTTATGGAGGCGTTAAATGCTGCTGAAAGCAGGATGAAAAGTAACAAAACCAATATTGTAAGTTTCATCACTTTCCAATTTATTTACGATTTTCGGTGGAAATAACATTTATTATTCGTTTCTTGTGTAGCAAACTAAAAGTGAGAAGGATGTACAGAGGGAATTTATTCAAAGGTTGTTCCCTGAAATTCAAGATGAGAAAATTATGAATGCAAATGCATTCGAAAGTGATGGTGAAAAATTCATTAGGAGTTATATTAATGACTTGAAAAAACAAAGTAGTAAAGAAAATGAACCTGATGCAAGTCAGCTCAAGTTACAGTTGAAGCATTACAAAGATGTTATAGATAATACTGTAAGTCTTGTTTGTCAATTTTTGGAATAATTAATAAATTTCATAATCACTTTTAGGAAAAAATGTTAAATAAGTTACAAAAACATATTGAACAAGAAGAAATTAATTGGAGAATGCAATTATCAGCAAAAACTGCTGAATTAGAGCAATTGAAAGAAAATTGCGGTAGTGAGGTAAGTCTCGATAATTTTTTTTTTCACATGTGAGATAATTTAACCTCAGTTACAAGAAAGATTGACCTCGTTGGAGTTAGAACTGAAAAAAGAACGTGAAGATAAAAAAAGAATTATTGCACAATTTAATGATAAAACCGACTTGGTAAGCCAGATTTGATCAATATTTTACTTACTTAACAGAAATTTTTGTTAACAGAGAGAAAATTCATCTAATGGATTGCACTTGAGATAGATTGGATTTTTTTTCTTCCACCAGTCTTAATGATAGGAATTAGTAAAAATAAATAATACTGCATAACTAATTACATTTTTTTAACTTATTCATCATTTATAGTAGGTAATTGTTTCATGTATTTACTCAGTCATTCCTCGCATTGTGTGTGCAATAAGTTTATAAATTTCATACTTTATGAGAATAGGTCACGATATTTTTAATAAAAGCAATTTTCAATTAAGACATTTCATTTTCCTGGCCATCAAGGTAAACAAAACTTCCAGATGACGCATTTTTATTATATTTTGCTTTTAAAATAAATCAGTGTATACATAAAACATTTTTAGATACTTAAATATTTAGCAATACTAAAAAATTCCACGAATAAATAACAAAATGCGAATTTTGTATCAAAAAATGTTGTCAGGAAGGAATGTTTTAAATCCAAAAATCACATTGGGGTGTAGTCGAGTTGAACGTAAATTTGCCTAACGCCCACCGAGGCGAAAATCATTTGCGTGTGTGACACAACATATTTAGGATCCACATTTTTCGATACTTCCAATTTAAGAGCCCCCACGTAAACTTCACTACAAAGGGTCCAAAAGTGGGGCTCTTGCACCGAGTAGACGCCAGGCAAACTGACCACTTTTTGGTAACACTGCGGCAAAACATTATCAAGAGCGTAAGGCTGTCTTTGCATTAAAATAACAACGGAATCTTTAATCAACGCCAAAACACTTAACGCTATTAAGATCGCTATAAACATTGAACAAATCGGATCAGCGATCATCCAACCAAACATTTGCATCAACACTGCCGAAATAATAACCCCGACACTTCCCAAAGTGTCAGCCAAAATGTGAAGGAAGACACCTTTCATGATTTGAGAGTTTCCACTAGCGTTGACGTCGATGTCTAGAGTGTGGTCATGGGAATGCCCATGGGAGTTGTGTGAGTGGCCGTGGCTGCTGCCGCCATGGGAGTGCCCATGCCCATGACCGTGTTGGAAAGCGTAAATTCCAACTAGATTAACTAAAAGTCCCAACACTGAGACAACAAACAATCTTTCATGTTTCACCTAAAATCACCCTTTTAGTTTGTGTTACCACACACATAATTTTAGATTTGTTACCTCAGGGGGCTCAATTGCACGTTCTACAGCTTCCGACATGATAAAAAACGAAATAAAAAGCAAAAACAGCCCATTAACAAAACCCGCCAAAACCTCGGCACGGACATAACCATATGAATATTTCTCGTTGGCTTTCCATTTCGTGATTACAGACGCGGCCAAACCAGCAAGTAACCCAGTACAGTCGAAAAACATATGGAAGGAATCTGATATTAAACCTAAAACGTCCATTTAAGGGAAGAGAATGAAAAACACAGGAATCTCACCTAAACTATTAGACCATACACCATAAACTAATTCTACAAATGCAAACGATAGATTTAAAAGCAGAAACAGAAACAAATTGCGGGAGTTTCTGTCGGAAAAAATTAACCTCATCCACCCATTCAACTTTTCCTTAATTCGGGAACCGAAGCCCCGATGCAAATTATCTTTGTGCGACAGTGGCAACATGGTTATTTTATTAAATAAGGCCAATATTCACAAGCTGAGACTAGTCATTATCAGATTTTTTGATAAAATTGCATACGTGTTTCAACCAATTTAAATTTTGCCATTACATGTTGGATTTTTCTTTGCATCTTTTGCAACTTTCAAGTTATCATAATTCGTACATTTTATCAATTAGTGTGACACGTACACCATTCAAATTAGAATTTTTACGAAAAAATTACAAAAATACTAAAAAGTCGGAATTACTGTCGAAAATGTCATCTGTCATCTGTTATTTCTCCCCACTCCACAGAAATACAGGTTGTCCAACCAATCTCTGTAGCTATTAATTAATTTATTTTTTTAATTAAAATTAGTCTTTAACTTAATAAGCGTTTTAAATTGTTGATTTGATTTATGCAAAAATAGTACATGTAAAAATTATGATACGTATAAAATTGTGTTCTGTTAATATTTTTGTCTTATTAAAATGAAAACTTCCTAAATTATTACCGACAGCGCCAGTAGTGTCGCTTTCCCGAACTGCTATTTCAAATTGAACCTTCAAGGATAAACTCAACGGTAATTTATCAACAACTGTTTTTATACCAAACAGTGAACCTTTTGCACGAAGTGTAAATTTAATTTATCACACGACGACCTTGCGCTTAAATGGACTCGTTTACGGAGGTATGTACACAAGTTTACTGTTTTTCTCCCAATTTTCTAAATTTCCACACTTGTTTTTCTGTAGAATCTTTTAACACGAGCGAGGGAGCGTCAGAAACTCCTCGAAGACTACAACAGTGATTTGAAAAAGACTCCTCCTCGCAATGGTAAAGTAACGACTTTATCCCAACCTAACTTAAATGCAAACTCTCCCAACAAATTGGAAAATAATTCGAAATCTGAAGGTAATTTAACACGCACACACATCTCATCCGATTTCACCTCTCATAAAAGCCTAAATATACAAAATGATAGTTTTAATATGGAAATTAAAGTAAGTTCAGCTGATAATATTCATGTTGAAGTGCAAATTGAGGAGCAGTGTGATGATGAAACAAATGGGGGTGACAAAAATGATGGGGGCCTAAGGCAGGATGCTAAAAATAGACTAAACAGGCTGGGGAAATTATATGCGGGTAAGATTTTTGTTTTTTTTTCACACTTTCACATTTTTTATTTTCTAATTTAATTTGTTTACAAAGGGGGTGATGATGCTGATATTTCTTCCCCCATTCATCGGACTGAAGCTAAATTTTGTGCAGATGGATCACCCACAAAACAGCTATCAGAAAATGCAAGGAATAAGAGAGGCTTGAGCAAACTGGCCGATTTAGCACAAAGAGTGAATCAGTTTGAAGACGACTTAACTCCAGTAAGTTAAAAAATAAATTAGGAATTCAATGTTTTCATGTCTTAATTATTTTGATGTTAGATTACATTTTTTTAAATTTATTGTGAGTTAATTTTTTTGAAAATATTTATAGGTACGCAAAGAAAGAGACAATTCTCCAGCAAAAACAAAGAAATCATGGAAACCTCCAGCCCCGAAACCGCCAAACACACCACCAAAATCGGCGACAAAATACAGAGCTCCAGATCCCCCAGTTAAAGAAACTCAAGAACAAAAACAAGTAAATTGGGATAAAAAAGTTCTCGATTCTCTTGTAATTCTGAAATAAATTATTTTTCCCCAAAATAATTTTCCTAATGTTTACAGGAATCGCAAGGTTTTCAACGGACAGAATCCAGTTCGAAATTGGTGTACAAATACAAGACGCAACAAAACAAAGAAAACGTCCATGAGAACAACGAACAAGCAATTAGGAAACCCCCTTCTCCTCAAAAAAGTAATATTAGAGCGACTGCAATTGCTGATAAAGCGGCTTTATTCGAATCAAGTCCCAGTAGACAGTCAAAAGATCCCGCTTTATTGTCTGTTTCTGAAAGAAAAGCGTTATTTGAGAAAAACAAAGGAGCAGCTTTGGTGCCTAAAGCACCATTCGCTATGGCCACACCTATAAAAAAAGATCCCCCAAAAGAGAAAAAAGTCACGGCTCCAGCATCACCGAAAAAAGAAGTAGCGACACCAAGAGGTGAAGGAATTGCGAATAAAGTTGCTGCTTTGTTTGAACAGAAAAGTACAATTTCGTCAGAACAGATTGAAAGTAATGTAAGGGAGCAAAGACAGAAAGAAATGGATCTGTTATTGAATAGATTTCATAAAAACAATGACGAGGTGGTGAATGAAGAAGAGGAGTTTGATGATGATACAGAAGAAACAGCAATGATTGATGAAAAATCGAAGAACAAAGTTGCCGTTGTTAGTCCTAGGGAGAAAAGGAGGAGCAGTGGCAATAAAAGATGTCGTAAGTTGTGTTTTTTTTTGAATCGCTTTCATGAAACAAATTTAGTTACAGGCAAGGGCGATAGTCCGAAAGTGGCCGCTGTTTTAAGTGAAGTGAAACGAATTAAAGTAACACCGCAAAGGACAGGTCGATTATACCCAAGTTTGACAGATATCGAATCAGTGACAGAAACCGAAAACGAAAGCCCAAGTCCTACAACAAACGGTCATAGCAGGTGCGATAAAATTACCGACTGGATTTTATTCCTCTTATGTCTTTCTTAAACATTTTTGACTGTATTATAAATGTAATATAATTATTTTACTACAACTTCCTATTTTTTCCCTTTTTGTTTTATCTAGCAGCGACAACAGTTTTGCTGAATCTGACGATGCAAATACTAGTTTTGGCCGAGATATTCTACGAGCAGTTTGCCAGAATCAAACGCCTCAAAAAAGAGTAAGTTATTGGTGGGGGACAAATAAAAAACTATTTTTCAATTAATTCTGTAGCAAATGATGGATGAGAGTGCAAGCGATTTGTCTGATGTTTTGGATGATATGGACGATTACATCGACGAAGCTTTGGCTTATAATGGCCAAAATGACGGTCCAACGCCGCCTAAGCAAGAGCGAAAATCACCAATTGTAACCTGAAATTATCAAAATTTCGATAAATAATAAACATTTTCAGGAATCATCCCATTCATTCAACTACAAGAGCTTCCAACCTGAATTTAAGACTCCGACTAAAGTAACACCTGACCAACTACCCACCCATGTCGTAGATGGCGAAAACATCCTCCCTCTCACCCACACTGTCAGTTTTTACCGCAAACAACAAACCCAAGTGTCCACACCACCGGTGCGACAAATAATCCGGGCGATGTCGATTGAAGAATCCCCGGAAAAGCCGGAGGAAGAGGACCAAATCCGGGTGAAAATCCGAGAGTTGCGAAACGAAGTAAGCAAACAAGAAATGATCATTTCACAAACGAGTCAAGCGCTCAATTTGTGCAACTCTACACCGGAATTTATGGGATCGACGGAACAAGTCGAAGCTGAAAGAGTTCTACTTGTTGCAAGTAATTTTCAGGTACGAATTTTGAGCGGAATTAACGATAATTTTTAGCACATCGGCGACAAGCTGCAATCCTTGAAAGTCAACGACTTGAAGTGGAAAAAACACTCAAACCGCAAACTGATCGAAGTAACCAATTTCCATTAGAAAAAGGCACTTTGACCTTATCCAAAATCGTACTTCCGTTGAAACACAAATACGTCACTGCTCTCTCTGCCGGTGAGTTTATACTTACTTACTTTTTGTAACTTACTAACCGAAATTTTAGCCGGAGGTAAAGGTCATCATGTCGTATGTCTTGTAAAATATTCGGATCAAGTTCTACCAACCCAACTTGTTTCCACGATTGCCTCTAATAGAAAAAACCCTGAACTCGAATTGCAAATCCCAGGCACAATCACCTTCAAGAATGTTTACAGCGACTTTGCTGTAGCTTTTGAAGTGTATTGTCTTCAAGCACAGGAGGAAATTCTCCCACACGAAGTCAAATATCACATTAAGAAACCCAACACTAAATTGACACCGAAAAAAACAAAAGAATCACGTTTGATGCGACCGATTAAAGAATCACCAGCTGGGCCACAAGTGGTGAGGTCGCCGACGTTTGCATTGATGGGATACGTCGTGTTTTCATTGCAGACGATTAACAAAAAACACTGGAGCTTAATTAATGTATAATTTGCATTCTTGTTTGTTTTTTTTGAGATTTTTTTTTCATTCTAGACGCCGTCTATGAGCCCATTGGAAGGTACAATTGAAATGTCACTTTCGTACGAATTATCAGTGACAATTGAGCATCGGGGCTTTCTGACAATGTTTGAGGATATTTCCGGATTTGGGGCTTGGCATCGTCGATGGTGTCTCCTAAAAGGCGACACTTTGAGCTATTGGAAATATCCGGATGATGAAAAGAAAACTGTAAGTGAATTAGCCCAGTCAAATTAAACAAATCGGTGGAAAACAATCCTAGAGTTGGAATTTTTTTAAACGCTTTCTTTACACTTGGGTAGACATATATCAAAAGTCCCTGAAGGCAGGGGGTTAAAGGGGTCTTTTTTTGGTTTTTTGCTTATATCTCGGAAATTGTTACTCCTATAGATTTTTATCTTCTTATCAAAATTAAAGCTTATAAAATTTCCTACAAAAATGGTCCTATTCATTTTTCTCGTAGGACTAACCGTAGGCTTCAGAAGTTTGGAGTCTACATAAAATTGCATTAAAAATCCTTTGAAACACATTTCATTAGTATATAGTAAGTATTTATATGTGTAGAGCGTTCCCCAATTAAGCTGGTCTGCTTGAAAGGTGACTCGGGTGTAAACATTTAAACGGATATAAATAAAAATTTTGGATGAAAGAGAGAATCAATCTGTAAGGGGGTTAAATGGGGTGGAAATGTTTAAATAAAGATATGAACATAAAATTCTTTAGAGTGTAAAGGGGCACTAAAATCAGATTTTTCTAAAATTAGTTTTTAAGGGAATAAAACGATTACACATTTAAATGGATATAAAAACATTAAATTTAGAAAATATGATCCTTAGAGAGTGTAGAAGTGCAGTTTTCAAATTTAATGAAATAAAATAGAGTTTAAACGCTTAAAAACAAAATTAGAAACATGAAATTTCGAATTTTGAGAGTGCAGAAGTACACTTTATGAAAATCAACATTTAATATTTATCTATAAACATAGCCCATGCGAAGAACGAAACTACTATAACTGAATCCTATACATCACATAGGTAATTATCTAGGTTTATAAAGTACCTAAGCCGATGGAATGGTTTTGTGAACCTGCTTTTTCCCATTTTATATCAGAAATACACTCGGACAAAGTCGCAGGTAAATGCTAGTTCAGCATATAAGGATGACCCAGAAGACTTGATAGGCCCTTGAGGCACCTTCTAATAAACTGTTGGATCCAATACATTCAATTTACTGTAAGCTTTATTCAAATCATCGATATTAAATCATGTATTTATTAATATTGTACTGAACAAGACTGTAATTCGGTTTTCAATGTTTAAGTTGAAGACGAAGATGCAGCATATGAGGACGACTCGGAAGACTTTATAGACTCTCTAATGAAGTGTTGCACCYAATAAATTCAATTTGCTTTCAGTTTTTTCAAATCACAAGATAAATTCTGTTTTAAATGCGGATAAAGCACATTTTTTAATGATGTTTTTTGTTAGCCCTATAACTCTCTTACAGTTAGTCCTACAACAAGAATGCAAAGGGCCATTTTTGTAGGCTTTAATTTTGATTAGCAGGCAAAAACCGTTAGGAGTAATAGTTTCCCAGATATAAGCAAAAAAAACAAAAAAAGACATCTTTAGCCCCCTCCCCCTCCTCGAGCTCGCCCCCCACCTTCGGGGACTTTTGATATATGTCTACCCAAGAATAAAGAAAGCGTTTAAAAAAAATCCAACTCTAGGTTTTTTTTCCACCGATCGCCCTATTTTTGTCTAATTTGACTGGGCTAAATGTAAAATTTCATTTATAGCCACCAATTAATTCGATAAGTCTCCGAGATGCAATTACGAAACAAGTCGGCCCTGTTAGTAGGGAAATTTGTGCCCGCCTTCACACTTTCCTTATAGAGACAGAACGAGAAGGTCTTCCTCACGACAAAGACAGTTTAGTGACAATTCGGAAGGGTTCGAAAACTATCATTAGGTAAAATTTTGTTATCTATAGAACTTTGGCACAATTTTCACATTTCAGACATCTTCTCTCCGCTGACACTAAGGAAGAGAGGATCGAGTGGTGCAACAAATTTAATTCGGCCTTAGCCGCAATTCACTTTACTAAACGCGAGTAATTTTTTATACTTTTTTAACACTTACTTTATATTTTTATTATGCTAGTTGTATAAATATATTCACTTATTCTAATCGATTTTAACAAACAAATAATATACATAATTGTTAAAAAATTTATTTGTAGTGATACAAAATTAATGAAGCAAAAATTTTAACATAATAGTGCTTTTAAGTAAAATATGACACACTTTTTAACCTTATCCAACCAATACCCAATTATTTTTTTCTTAATTTTTTGGCGGGATTTTCATTTTTGACATCTAAGTCTGGGCCGATGGATTTAAGTAACGGTTGTTTACAGTACTTACCGAAGAGCGTGGTCAAAAGAGCCACTCCATACCCAGTCGCTCTTTCACCCTAATTACAGAAATCTGTAAAATCGGCTTAATTTTCACCATAACTACTTACACAATGCACCGGCGTTGCCATATCAACATGCACCCACACCCCTGGATAATCGAACCCTAAATGAGCCGCAATGAAAAGTCCCGCACAACTCGACTGAGCATTGCTTCGATCAGCCACCGAGTTTTTCATGTCAGCAACGGCCGATGAAAACTCAGAAAAGTGTAACTCAGGACAAAACGGTATTGGGAAAACCAAGTCGCCGGAGGTCAATCCAGCCTCCATTGCGATAGTTTCCCAATCTTCGTTGTTTGTTAACACAGCGGCGTGGTATTTACCAGTAGCGACACCCTGAGCTCCAGTCAACGTTGCCATATCTAAAATTACGTTGGCTTTTAAATCTTTCTGAGCGTAGGCGACGCCGTCTGAAAGGACGAGACGGCCCTCTGCGTCGGTATTGTTGATTTCTACAGTGCGGCCTGAGTAAAGAGTGTGAATATCGTCGGGTCTACAAAATACAAAGAAAGTGTAATAACACAGGGCGACAAAAAAAGTCATGTGACAACTTGACAAATTTTATATCATTTTGTTCGTCTCAGGGAGACAAATCAAATGCACTAAAAAAATTTCAGAAAGTCCACACACTTTGAACTAAATATTTTTTTATCTAATTTAAATGAATTTAAAATACTTTAACTTTAAAAAATCATTACTCAAAAACTATTAGGCCGATTTCCTTCAAATAAAGACCATTCTAAAGGGATGGACTTGCCTTTAGAATGATATGCAATTTGAAATTGAATATTGGCAAACTTTTCTTCGAACAGTGTTCGAAGTAAATCGAAGTAATCTAAGAAAAACCCTAAGAGGAATTTTTTTTCTTTGCCACCATCGTGTAGAGCATCTTTTTATTAGTAAGAATCCAAATTTTTAAAATAATATACCGAGTAGTTTTTAAGATATGATTTTTTGAAGTTAAGATTTGCTATTCAGGTATTGCGCCATATGGGAGAAATGCATGTTAATCTTACCTATAATTGCATTTTTATAAAAGTATTTGTTTTAAGATTCTGCTTATGCTTAAAAATGGTCACTTTCTTCGTTCTAATTAGAATAAAGAAAAACTGTTTCTTTACTTAAAACAAACAAAGAGTATCTGCGTACTAATTAAAGCAATTAAAAAGTTTTTTTGTTCGAAAAATGATCACTGATCATTGAGCAAAAAGGATCTAGAAGTGTAAGCAGTAGCTTTAAATATAAGAACAAATCCTTTTCAAATTAAATGACTTTCCATTCAGATTTCAACCTGTTCACTTTGTTCTAGCTTTCTGAATTTTTTTTGAAAATGTTCTCAGCAAATGCTTTTTTATCACTTTCTACTGGTGTTGAATGCAATAAGTCAGTTGCTTCGTGTGCAACTGTTATCACAGCAACTACTACCTACAAGCTAACTGAAGCTAATCGTAGAATGTATCAATAAATCAGGTGACTTATTGCATTTAACATCACTCGAAAGTGATGAGAAAGTATTTGCTGAGAACATTTTCAAAAAAAGTTCAGAAAGCTAGAACAAAGTAAACAAGTCGAAATCTGAATGGAAAGTGATTTGATTTGAAAAAGATTTGCCCTTATATTTAAGGCTCGTGCCTTAAACTTCTAGATCCTCTTTGCTCAATGGTCATTTTTACAACAAAAAAACTCTTTATTTGCTTTAATTAGTATGCAGGTACTATTTATTTGTTTTAAGTAAACAAACAATTTTTGTTTACTCTAATTAGAACAAAGAAGGTGCAATTGACCATTTTTAAGCAAAATAAGAGTCTTAAAACAAATACTTTTATAAAAATGCAATTTTAAATAAGATTAACATGCATTTCTCCAACATGGCGCAATACCTGAATAGCAAACCTTAACTTTAAAAAATCATATCTTAAAAACTACTCGATATATTATTTTAAAAATTTGGATTCTTACTAATAAAAAGATGCTCTACACGATGGTTACGAAGAAAAAAAATTACTTGTAGGGTTTTTCTTAGATTACTTAGATTTACTTCGAACTTGCATATTGATTCAATTTCAAATTTCATATCATTCTATAGGGCAAGTCCATCCCTTTAGAATGGTCTTTATTTGAAGGAAATCGGCCGCCTAATAGTTATTGAGTAATGATTTTTTAAAGTTAAAGTAATTTAAATTAGAAAAAAAAAATAATTAGTTCAAAGTGTGTGGACTTTTTGAAATTTTTTTAGTGCATTTGATTTGTCTCACTGAGACGAACAAAATGATATAAATGTCAAGTTGTCACGACATGACTTTTTTTTAATTCGTAATAGAATTACTTGGTGGCATTGGGGCCTACAGCATTCTCAGCTAAACAAAACACGGCGTGTAAATTCTGCGTAAAATTGGCCTTAACTGCGGCATAAAATGCCCCCAGAATCCCAGCAGCGCCTCCACAATCCCGTTTCATGCCCGGCATAGCCGTCTAGAATAATTTTATTAAAATCAAAGTAATTAAAATAGAGGTTACTGTACTTTTCCCTTGATACTCAAACCACCAGTATCGTAAACAATGCCTTTACCGACCCACGCAATAGTCGAATGAGCCCCCTGAGGGGTGTGGCTAAGCACTGCGAGTGCTGGAGGAACACTAGCGGCTTTGCCCACCCCGTAAATACCCCCGAAGCCTCTTTCGGCCAGTTCTTCGCCACGGATGATTGTCGGTTGGATTTTCAGAGCGTCTCCGACTTCGCGAATTTCCTATTAATTTTAATTATGAAATGAAATTGATTTATAATTGAAAATTACTTGAAGGAAATGATCGACGTTCATTTCATTGCACGGAGTATCAACAATACGGGCAGCTAGACGAATTCCAGTCGCGGCATCATCGAGAATTTTCAATTCTTCGGCGGTGAGTTCACTCCCATCAATTTCATCTAAATCAGAATTGGTGAATTGGAGTGAGTCTAGATCCGTCAAATTAGACAAATCGGTGGAAAGAAATCCTAGAGTTGGAATATTTTTTAAACGCTTTCTTTACACTTGAGTAAACATATATCAAAAGTCCCCGAAGGTGGGGGGCGAGCTCGAGGAGGGGGAGGGGGTTAAAGGTGTCTTTTTTGGTTTTTTGCTTATATCTCGGAAATTATCACTCCTATAGGTTTTTATCTTCTTATCAAAATATAAAGCTTATAAAATTTCCTACAAAAATGGTCCTTTGCATTTTTGTTGTAGGACTAACCGTAAACGAGTTATAGGGCAGAAAAAAAAAACATCATTTAAAAAAATTGGCTTTATCTGCATTTAAAACAGAATTAGTCTTGTAATTTAAAAAAAAACTGACAGTAAATTGAATTTACTGGGTCCAATACTTCATTAAAGGAAGGGGGAGTCACCAGGGTCTATAAATACAAACTCATCGTTTATGTAATTTATGCAGAATGTTCTGTAGATGTCTATTTCTGCATAAAAATTTCTTACAAAAATGGTCCTATTTATTTTTGTCGTAGGACCAACCGTAGGCTTCAAAAGTTTGGAGTCTACATAAAATTGCATTAAAAATCCTTTGAAACACATTTCATTAGGATATGGTAAGTATTTATTTATTTATTTTCCCCAACTAAGCTGGTCTGCCTGAAAGGTGACTCGGGTGTAAACATTTAAACGGAGGCACAGGATATTAATACTATAACAGAAGCCTCATTCGACAAGGAGACGAAAATTAGAGGAGGATGAATGTGCACTACTCATTTAAAGGGTTATCGTCTTTAGTCGGCATTACCCGCACCTTTCCGTACATGTGTGCAGCGCTATTGGCTATGATTTGCAGGCGCGTTTTTAAGAAATATTGGAGTTGGGTGCACCTACACCACAACAATGTAATTTAGAAATCTTTTTTTTTAATCATTATTGTCTTACGAGTATACATATTAACCATTGTTATAATTGATATTGGAATTGTTTTTGTTTTATATTTCAAACAACTTTTTTTTAATATAAAATTCATTGCCTATTATTATGTGCATAATGTTTAATGCTGATTCCTAGAAATTCACCTTTCAGGCCCGGTTTTATTTCAAGTAAGTATAAAATCTCTTAATTTGCCGATTTCTTTTATCTAGTAAACAGCTTTCCTTTCAAGTCTGCAAGCAATACATTTTTTTAATCAGTCCAATCAGTCATTTATCGTCATTCAGTAGGCATTAATATCGATTCGTTTCGTTTTATTTCAATTCGAAGTTAATAAGGCATGAAATAAGTAGTGCCGTTCGCAATTGGACTATTATTATTTAGACAAAATAACAAAATGTTATAAAATTAAAAAAAAAAGACTTTCATTTTGCAACATTGTTTTAAATTCTTCCATTGCATTGATGAGAACTTTTTCAGCTCTTTACCCTTACAAGTTCTTACTTATCAAATTAAACCGTGTATTTTTTATTTAACGTACATACTACATGAAGCTACTGTCGAAACAGAATAAGTAAATACCTACATGACATTAAGATTTAGTTAATTTTTTTTACATTTGGAAACCACATCTCTAGTCCCATTTTAATGCACACATCTTAAATGCACTACTGGATTATACACCCGAGGTCACTGGAGCGACCGGCGAAACATCAAAGGTTTCGTGTGGAGTGGGGCTTCTGTTATAATATTTATTCTGTGACGGAGGTATAAAAAAAAATTTGGATGAAAGAGTGAATCAATCTGTAAGGGGGTTAAATGGGGTGTAAATGTTTAAACAAAGATATAAACATAAAATTCTTTAAAGGTGTAAAGGAGCACTAAAATCAGATTTTTCGAAAATTAGTTTTTAAGGGAATAAAACGGTGTACACATTTAAAGGGATATAAAAACATTATATTTAGAAAATATGATCCTTAGAGAGTGTAGAAATGCACTTTTCAAATTTTAATGAAATAAAATATAGTTTAAACGCTTAAAAACAAAATTAGAAACATAAAATTTCGAATTTTGAGAGTGCAGATGTGCACTGAGACGACACTTTATGAAAATCAACATTTAATATTTATCTATAAACATAGCCCATGCGAAGAACGAAACTACTATAACTGAATCCTATACATAACATAGGTAATTATCTAGATTTATAGAGTACCTGAGCCTATGGAATGGTTTTGTGAACGGGCTTTTTCCCATTTTATATCAGAAATACACGTGGACAAAGTCGCAAGCAAATGCTAGTTCAGCATATAAGGATGACCCAGAAGACTTGATAGGCCCTCGTGGCACCTTCTAATAAACTGTTGGATCCAATACATACAATTTACTCTAAGCTTTATTCAAATCATCGATATTAAATCATATATTTATTAATATTGTACTGAACAAGACTGTAATTCGGTTTTCAATGTTAAGTTGAAGACGAAGATGCAGAATATGAGGACGACTCGGAAGACTTTATAGACTCTCTAATGAAGTATTGCACCCAATAAATTCAATTTGCTTTTAGTTTTTTCAAATCACAAGATTAATTCTGTTTTAAATGCGGATAAAGCACATTTTTTTAAATGATGTTTCTTGTCAGCCCTATAACTCGCTTACAGTTAGTCCTACAACAGAAATGCAAAGGACCATTTTTGTAGGATTTAATTTTGATAAGCAGGCAAAAACCGTTAGGAGTAATAGTTTCCGAGATATAAGCAAAAAAAACAAAAAGACACCTTGAGCCCCCTCCCTCTCCGCGAGCTCGCCCCCTACCTTCGGGGACTTTTGATATATGTCTACCCAAAAATAAAGAAAGCGTTAAAAAAATCCAACTCTAGGATTTTTTCCACCGATTTGTCTAATTTGACTGAGCTACCGGCCCTATTTTGAACTTACCTGAGTTGGAGGGAAGTATTACAAATTCTACCGAAACTGTTGAATATTCAGTGGTGTTGGAACCCGTTTTGCGGCTGTAGAGGGGAAAAGCCCGGGCCACAGCACACCCACTTGCGTATACATCGTTACGTTCGCAAATTATCTGTTAATTTATACAAAAAAAAAAAAATGGTACCTAATAGTTTGCTCAATTTACTTACCACAATGCTCTCGTCGAGTCCCACTGTGCAGCTCTGCACTAGCCGGGTGATTGCATGAGCCCTTGAAGGAGTATTATGTCGGCTACATTTGACCGGCAAGGCGGCTATCGTAGCCAAATTCAGATACAAAGAGCAGCTATCAGTCGGTGATGGATGCAGACTAGAGACCGCAACCTTGAACACGTCTTCACTAACCCTAGGTTCAAGCTTACTTTTGATATCTTGAAATTTCAACTGCGTTAAATGCTTCACTTGCCCGATTATCAACACTGGCGTTTGTTGCGGATCGGTTTTTGTTAATCCGCTACGAAAAATGAGTTTCGTGCTCATTTTTTCTGTAATTTAATACAACTAAGTGCGATCAAATCATTACAAACAAGTCGTTTCAAACTTATCGTAAGATAACGAAATGAGAGTATTTAAATAGTGAAATTTTCACATTGAGTGGCTATATTTAAATATCTTGTTGGCAAGGAAAATTCAAGCTATTTTCCGGTGATAAATCAACAAAATTTCAATGAGAATCAAAAGTGGAATAATTACCAGTCACGGGGTGCGAGTTTGATCAAAATTTTCGCGTTTTTAAGACACAAAAAGACTCAGACTACTCCAACATTATAACCTCTAACTCCACTCACGTCAACTTGACATTAGTAGGACATTTTTAGGCGCGTCCATGAGCATTGAGCGTGGCGTCATTCATCTGATAATTATCTTATTTTTGCTGTTTTAATACATAAGAAATAAATACAATGTGATGATTCATAAATAACAACTCTGATAACTTATCGGAAAAAATCGATTTAAAAATACTGCTGAACGGTGATCTGATCAGAAAAAAGCCCACACTAAAATTGCCCACAGGAAAAAAGCTCACAAAAAAAAGCCCATAAACATAAATGCCCACAAGAAAAAAACCCACACAGAAAAAAGCTCACATTAAATAATGCTCACAAAGAAAAAAAACCCACGTCGAATAAAACTCACACGGAAAGAAACGCACAGTGAAAAACATCCCACATGGAAATAAACCCACATGGATAAAAACTCACATAGAAAAATACTAACTTACCAAAAAACTCACAAAGAAAGAAGCTCACTATAAGCGGTGTTTGATGTAAATGGGTATTACGTTCTCTAGTTTCTATTCGTTAATAAACTCTTTTCTTGTGCTCCTCTACTTTAAAGATAACATTTTCTTTCAATTTACAGGGTTGTAGTTTTATTTTGCAGCATCTTTTTCAAATTCACAACTCGTTTTGCTGCGAGAAGTTTGAATAGCGTACTGATAATTTTCTTAAATAAAAAAAAATAAGAAATAAAATTAAATTGACATTCCCCAAAAAAATTTTGCACCATATCAAAAAATTTTTAAATCTTTAACATATCGGGGTGGCGACTCGGAAGTGACAAGCGATAAGAATTTAAAAAAAATTACAGAAGTTTAGTCTGTCAACGACTTTAAATCGATTTTTATTTTTGGTAGATATATTCTATACTTTCTGAGATATTTGGGTAATCAATTTTTTTATAAAAAGTAGATAGTGTGCTATTTAATATTATAAAACTGGGGACGGCGCACAGTGGTCTGAGAGCGACAAAAACCCAGATTTTGTAGGTAAGTAATCCAAAAAATTTAATTTGTTACCTTTGTATGTTAAAGATAAGTAATTAAATATATTTAAAGAGTTTAAGTACCAAAAACCTCCATATTAATTCATCTACAACCATGAGAAGTCGTCACACAATAAATAAGCATATTTTCAGGATCGCTTGGATAAATCTTAAGACTTGTGATTTGTTGAGTTTTGCAAAATTGATCTAGTTGTATTAGGTTCATGTACATGTAAAAAGTTTTCAAATAAATTTGGAAACAAGTTTGTTTAATAATTTTGAGAACACATTTTTGTTAAATCAAAAACGTGTATTGATTTTGCGCCAAACTGGGACTTCTTGGAAACTGTTCTTTACACTCTGTATTAACGATTAAAACAAAAATCAGCTGCGTAAATCTGCGAGTTTAGTAATAATAATCTCTAATTCTTTGAAGTAAGGTAGATACAAGAAAGTTTTTGTTCTTGTAAATGGTAATTCAAACACTATTTTTTTTTAGTTTGTTTTGTAGGTAAATATGTATGCAGTGGTAAAAAATAATTTTAGTTGTTTAAAGCTCTATTGATATTACCACGTGTTCTCATATTGAATTAACGACTATAACATTAAAAGGGTTGTTCGAAAAATGTTATTTTTAGTCTAGATTGAATGTAAAAGCCTAAAATTCTATACAAAACTAGTTCTTCAGGTGTCTTATTTAATCTAAAGATTTTTTGAAGTTTTTGCCGTTTTCATGCTAGTTTTGACTACTGTGCGGCGGCTTAGGGGCACATAAAATTTTATACAATACTTATTGTCAGTTTCACCAACGATAAATAAATCGTCGGACATAGTTATATGAACAATATTTTTTTCTTTATTTATTAAATAAAAAATTGTTTCACTGGTTTCACCAAACTTTCTTTAGTTATTGTCATACCTGAATACGATGTTTTGAGTAGTGACAGTACAAAAAATGCTAAATTTGGGAGTTGTGCGTGTTACTTTGTTAAGAAAACTAATTATGTTAAGTCACAACTGCAAAAGAAAAAGAGACAGAGTTTGTTCCAAATCTGGGGGCGAACTGACGTTGTCAAATATGACTGAATTTTGACACTAAAAGTATGTTTACGATAGACGAAAGTCTATCTTTTTATCAAGGAGGCCGTGATGTTTACTATTAAAAAACAAATGTCCAGAGGCGTCGTAATAAAATGTATTTCAAAACCATTGTTATTCTTTAAAAAAATAACATAAGTAGGTACTCATACATAAGATGAAGAATAATAAACAAATTATTACGTTGTTAAAGCATAAAAATAATTTTACACAATGATATTACTAACAATCCTCGCCCTCAAAATTACTAGAGCAAAATTCGATTTCATCGCTGCTATCGTGGGTTATGTTCATTAACGATTACATCTAAATGATTTTCCCTACTTAAATATTGGTTTTTATTTGCGATTACCCGATTGTAAACTCAAAATTTTAGAGAAAAAAATGCACGCCCATGAGTTTTATTATCTTAACGAAGTGTGCATATTCCAAGTTTCTTCTCTGTCACTGTTATTTCGCCACCAGATGTGGAATAAGCTCTACACTCTTGATTTTACACTTCTTCTTGAATATGATTACAGCAAAACTTTATTCTAAAACATTTTTATCGATCGATTATAAATTCATCCACGACAGCAGAGATTGTTTTTCCCTGAGTTAATTTTCTGTGAGCTTTTATTCAGTTTTCAGGAGTTTTCTTTCTGGGTGGGTTTTCTTCATTGTGCATTTTTTTCAAACTGGGCTTATTTCTTTGTGGGGTTGTTTCAATATGAGGTTTTTTATCAGTGCGTTTTTTTCTATGTGGGTTTTTTTCCGTATGAGTATTTTTCGGTGTGAGCTTTTTTCCGTGTGGGTATTTGTCTTGTGCGCATTGTGGGCTTATTTCATGGATTCCTCATGAACACATGACATCACGCTGCAATTTATTTCTCTTATTTAACGTTGGGATTAAAACAAATATTTGATTGCAAGTTTTATTTTATAATTTCTACATCTACAAAGCACAGTAATAGAACAATAATACACCCTAGTCAATTTTCAAGCGAGAAAAATACTAGACTGTTTTTACATTGAATCCAAAGTAAATAAGCATTAGTTGCCCCCTTGCTTATACTATGAATATTTCTATTCAATAATATGCGTTCTAATATTATCGAATAAAAATACTCGCACTACCAAAAACATTTCATAATTATATCTCTATACTAGTGTAAAAAGAAACCGGTTTTACATTTTTTTTCAGCTTTTTTCAATATATTTACCCCTGTAGAAGCATATTTATGCTAGAATGCAAACTCGAGAACGTGTTCTTCAATAATGGCGTCATTTCCAGTGACTTGCATTCTAATTGGTAATTCAATTGCGACGTTTCCTCCATTTTCAATATTGACATTTGTTGGTAAGTCCCCCATGACAAAATGTTCGTCTGTGAGCGGCATTATATCCTTCAACAGAACCCAAATGCTTTCATCGGCAACCACGTGTACTTTCGCTACTGGAAAACCGTTAAAAGGACTTGCAACTGGTAAAGTATAAGCCCCCATGTTCTCAAAAACGATCCAATCCCCAAGTCCCATCTCCGGAAGCAAAACTTCTTCAACGACTTGATCCAAACCGTCACAAGTGGGCCCCCAGATACTACTCGAGTAGTATTTCGAGCCTGGCAGTTCATGCAATGGTTGAGGTACCACTCTTTGATGGTCGTACAAAATACAATTGAAACTTCCATAAACCCCATCATTGATGTAATACATCCTGTGTCGAGTGGTCTCATCTTCGCTGATGACGTCACGAATCGAATGAATGTTACAAATGAGAGTGTAAGCAGAACTGACGTAAAACCGTCCCGGTTCGGCTATAACCTCCACCGAAGGGTCCGAAAAGTAATCATCAAGGGCCGAATTAACAACTTGTGCAATTTGATCCAGAGAAGTCCCACGATCCCCTGGGAACCCTCCTCCGATATCCAGAAGTGTAAAGTTGTACCCCAGAGCTTGCCCCATGTCGAACACCTCTCTTGAAGAGGCAATCGCTCGTTTGAAAACCGAAGGTTCCCGACAGCCCGACCCCACATGGAAGCTGACTCCAATGACGTTGAGGTCGAGATTTCGGGCCGTTCGAAGTAAACGGGGGGCTTCCAGAACAGAATCGCAGCCGAATTTCATGCCAAGAGGGCATTGGGCGTCGGTGGCGTCGCAACGGATGCGAATAACGAGCTTGGCGTCGGGATAAAAACTCTTGATCTTGTGGAGTTCTGTCTCGTTATCGAATGTCATGGTTGAAACACCCGTTGCAGCTGCATGACGGATGTGACTTGAGGGTTTGGCGGGATTGGCGAAGATGATGCGGTCGGAGTTGACGCCGAGTGAGAGGACTTTATTGATTTCGCCCTTGGAAGCGCAGTCGAAGCCGGTGCCCAAAGCGGCGAGGACTTCGAGGACGGTCAGGCTGTCATTGCATTTAACAGCTGGAAAAAAACTCGTTTTTATCATTTTTGATTACTAGATTTTTTGCTTATTTGCTTAGAAAGTGAAAAAAGGTCCTGCAGCCCCCCGGTTTAGAATAGCTGATTTATAGAATAAAAAACAATTATTCGTGTGAAATTATCGACCTTGAAATAATTTTTATTTTTGTCTTGTTGGTAATTTGGTAAATTTTAGTGATATAAAAACTAAAGTCTGTTTTTTCTTGAAATGGAAAGTACCAAGTCAAAATTTTGGTGAAAAAATTGGTAGCAGCTTGTCTCCATAGCCACAAATTTTGTTTGCTCTTTGTTTTTGTCCCTAGAAATTTTGTTAAAAAAAATTTTGGTTATGTTTTCAAATTAAGATGTCAAAATTTTGACTTTTATGAATCTTGTGTGCCGGTTTGCTCTTTGAAAGCGCTATAATTAAATACCTAAGGTCTAAAAACAGAATTCAGTTCTAATAATTTTGATAGCAATACACAGCAAGTAAGTACAATGTTGTGGACAAAAATAAGGTTCTTGCTACAAAAACTTTGAAGAAAAAGGATGTATACACAGAAAAAAGTTATTTAGCAAAAGATACAAGTAGGTATTATGATGATTGGCAATAAATTTTGTGTAATTTATTGAAATGAGCTCAAAGTTGATGCATTTTATAAATTCTTCTTATGGCTTAGTTTCAAAATTGTTACTTTTTCAACTCGTTCTTCAAAAAACGATGCACAAGACACTAATTTAATTGCGTTCTTTTCGAGGTTCTTTCTTATTCATGTTTATCTTGTATTCTTGTCAATTTTTCGCTAAAAATTGAGAATGTTTAAAAGTCATATACTCGTTTTCATATTAATGTGCATCGAAGTTGTCGTTGAAAGGGATCATTTTAAGATGGCAACCATGCGAAAATTCAAACAATCCTAAAACTCAGTCTTCCCTAAAAATTATTTTTTCAAATAAATGTGTACTCCATGTAGCAAAAAATAGTTAAAATTAACAACGTAATCAACATAGGATAGGAAACATAAAGATTTTTGTACAGTTGGAGACAAAATACTTTGGTCGTCACTTTTCTGACTATTTAATGTAATTCAAGCTTTAACGTTAAAATGAATGACAATTTCAAATTAATGACAGCTATTATATTTTCCTCTCCAAAATATGTACAACTTGTCAATTATTATTGACAGTAGCTAAAAATAAGGTTAACAGTCCTAAAGCATGCTTTACAATTTAATGTCACTCAAGTGACATTGACGACCAAAGTATTTTGTCTCCAACTGTAATTATTGATGTGATTAAATTTGTTTTGAATGACATTAATGACACTTTTTGTGTAAATAGGACTTTAAATTAAAGATTCATTTAGACTTCTACAACCTACTTGATGCACATTAATATGAAAAAGAGTATAGAAACCAAGAAGGATATCGATGGAAGGGATGCCCAGATACGAAAACTGGTCGCGGACGAATCCATTCGCAAATATAGGGGAGTTCTGAAATCAACTGAGAGCAGTGGCATGTTTCGCACTTATTTATTTGAACAAAACAAATAATCCATATACTGTAATGAAAATATTTTGATTTTATTACTTTATTAATAAATAACATTTTTAAGGCATTTGTTCTTTTATAAATTGCAATACTCAGTAACCATTTGAGAAAGTTATTAGAAATTGTTCAACAAGGTTCAAATTATTATTAAAATAAAGTCCATTTCCAAACCACAAGTCTTTAATCTCTATTTACAGTGTACAAGTTGAGCTGCAGACGTACACTTGAGTGCAAAAAAAACCGCAAATTGATTTTTTTATAATGTAATTTAGTGTGTTAATATGTGTAAATTTTTTGACGTTGTCTTTGTCACAATTCACAATTTCATAATTGTCATGCATCTTCCAAACTTCTATCAAGTGATTCCATATTTTTCCATTTCCTCACTTAGTTTTTAACACTTACTACCTATGACGCTGTACTGTCAAGACCACCAAATAATGCCTTATTTGCCTTTCTTTTGATAGTTTTCTAACCTATTTGGGAACAACCTTTTTCTCTGAAAAATTTGACAATTTTGTTTTTGACAATTTGCGTTTTTTTTGCACTCCAGTGTACCTATATTTTTTAGTACATAAGTACATTATATTGTAGTATAATGAAAAAAATAAATTTTAAATTTTAAAATAATTATCAAAATGTAGGTATACCTGCCATTGCATAAACATTAACTATAAGAATGGTAAATATATTTTATTAGTTTTATAGTAAAAAATTCCATTTTGACTTACGAGTATAAAGTGACAATTTGAAATTACTAAGGCCCATCAGTTATATAAAAAATTAATCGCCTGTAATTCTGATTTAAACGCATAACCACAATTTTTGTAAAAATTGTTATGGGTTTAAATCAGGATTAAAGGATTAATTTTTTATAGAATATTGAGCCTAACTAGTAGTAATTATGATACAAAAATTGTTTTTTAATATGTTTATATTTTTAATAAACGAATCTATTCGTTATTTTTTGTTCGTCTTTTATTTAAACAGAAATTAATATCACCGTATATTTGAAATAATTGTGGAGCATCGTATGAATTTTTTTATATTTAATATCTCAGTCAATAAATATACGAAAAAAAAAAATGCAACTCTACAATTCTCTTTTTATCACAAAATGGTTTTGTGTTACGCCACTGCTCAAGTTACCCCACTACACCGAGTACGCATTGGCTCCGCCTATCGATATCCTTCTTGGTTTCTCTGAGGTTTAACTTAACTGACATTTGGTGAAAAATAAAATTTCAATTGAAAAATAAATGATGTCTAATGAACTATCGCTTGAAGGAAGGGCGCAAAATCGGTTTAAACGCATTATTTAATTATCTTTTCTTAATTTATCTCCTTTTAATAAATATTTGCTTCTTGTACCAACTTCAAATTCCAAAACTTACTACAGCATTAATGTTAAAAACTAAAGAGTAAATTATTACCATAATGCGGTTGGACCCTTGGCAAAAGCGCTTTCCAAGTTTTGTGCTTTCTAACGATGTCTCCAACGTCGCACACATAAAAAGCTTCTTCCTGTACTCCAGAATCGGCAATGTCCATAATAACGGACCAAACATTAGATTGTGCATCCAAAACGTGAACGCGTTCGTCGGTATTTGTGAATCTCATTTTGATGATAATTGAAATGGTATAAAGATATAATTATTAAATGTATTTAGGAGCTTGTGTTGTAATAAGCAAGCTGAAAAACAAAAAAAATGGTAAAAAATTTGTAACAATTGTGGAAAACTCAACTTACGAGGCAACCTGTGCTCAGAGTTGCTCAGGATGTCTTAAAAAGCGGGTGTTACTTCTGCGCTGCGAAAATCAGCAGTTCCAAGGAGGTTCTCCGTTCAAGAATATTCTCCAATTATAGGGGAGAAATGCACTGCTAGTAGCCGGGGAAGCTTCGTCCACAATGCAACCCTAAAATTAAAAAATTGAGTAAAACCCTCAAAAATTAACAAAGAAAAATAACAATTTTAATTTTCGCATGACCAAAATTGTATCAAATAGCACAATTTCCGGTTTTTAATCTATACACGTGGAATCGAAATAAACTAATTAGGGATAGAAAAAACTCCTTTTTACCTTGTAAAATGGGCTGAAGTGTACTTTACAAATTGCACATAAGCACATGAAAAAGTCTGTTAAAAAATGGATACCGAGTCAACGTTGACTCAAAAAAAAGAACGAGTTGGGAGAAACGACGTGAAAAAATGTTTTATATCAAGCTCGCCACAAAGTTATATATCGGCTCCCCTCTTTGCTTTATTCCCAACCAATCAATTTGCAGTGATCTTCAACCTACAATACTGATATAATATCAAGATGTACACAATGTTCGGCCATTGAATTCTTCTATCTGAAGCTCAAAGATAAAGCGGTATTACTAGGGTTTCTTCAATTACAAAATATAACGCAACCATTGAAATTTGAATAAAAAGCATTCTGTAATTCCGTGAAACTTATCTCTTATCAATTCTTCAATTAATTTTTTATATAAATAGTTTGTAGTAGTAACCGGTTTGTAAATGGGTTCATTTTATCAAAAGTTTAATTACTGAAAATTGTTGCTCCTAAGCAACAACCTCACTAGTCTAGGAGATAAAGTATTATGCTCTGGCTTTGTGAACTTTATTTTATCTTAATACATTTCAAGAGACTTATTTATGAAAAAAATCATTCAAGTGTCTGACACACTTCTTTGAATTTTCTCGAGTAAATATTCTATTCGTCCTTTCATGACCGGCTGCCCCCTTTTTGTTTTCTTGTTCAGTTTCTTGAACTTTTCCATTTTCGCCTTTTGGTACTTTTGCAACGCTTCTTCCTTTTCCGCTTTCTTCCTCAGAAATTCGGCTCTTTTCGCCTCCTTTTCCTCCTGGATTCGCTCCTTGAAACTCTTCTTGTGGCGTTTAAGTCCATTTTCTTCCTTCACTTGCTCAGTATCTTCATCCTCCCTCTTCTCTCTTCTTTCCTCCTCTTCATATATTTTATTCACGTCAAATTTATTCTTTTCACGATTTTGCTCTTTATAATAACCGTGTCTGATATATTCCGTTCGCTTGTCTTTCCAGTTTTCTAATTTATTTTTGAAACTGTATTTTTCCGATCGCCATTTATTTTTATTAAAAGGTCTTTTCTTGGCGAAAAGATCATCAGAACCCTCGCCTGAAGTTGAAGGTTTAACAACTTTTTTCGATAATGTTTTGCGAAAAAAATTATCTCTGGTCTTTTGGCCCCCGTCTTGTATCAATTTATTTTTCACCATCCTACCTAGAATAAAGCAATTTTTTGTCACCGATGATCCCAACTTCACTCTGACGCAATTATATTTCGTTTAACGTAAGAACACAAAATAACAGTCTCCTTTTTGTATTTATTTTTATTGTTATCTCACGTATTAACAATCTAATCTAGCCAGCTGATTTTAATTTGACACATTTATAAACCAGGCTCACATTTTCTTTGTCATTGCCAAATGAGTTACAGTTTTTTTCCATCCCATGGAATTTTTTCAACATAACATTAAAGACTGGTCATGATTTTTATGGCATGATTCGTCCATTGGAAATGTATGGTTTATCATAATTAGTCATACAACTTGTCAATCAATTTAATTAAAATGCAAATGTTTAATCTTAAACTAGTTGTGAGCTTAAAACAAATCCGTTAGCAACAAATTTCTAAAACTTCTAAAACTCAAGGTTGTGAAAACTAAAGGTGAAGAAAAAAAAATAGGCGCGTCTTTCCACTAACAATCTAACGCAAAAATTGGAAACATTTACACAATACTTAAATAAATTAGGGTAAAAATTGCAATTGGAAGGGTCCAATCGTGGCCACTTACCTTCGGAAGCCACCCTTTGGGTTGGCGTGAGCGTTTTGGCGGAATTTTGAGTTTTTGCAGATACAAGTGTATAAAAAACACTTTATTCCTTCGTCAGTCAACAATTTTGCACGGTTTTTTCGCGATTTTATAACACACCATACCGTCAAAGGTAAGACCTCTTGCAAAAAGAACGTCAACGCTTTGACAGCTGTTACGTTGACAGACGACAAGTGGCGACATCTAGACCGTAATTATTGATTTTTATTTAAAATTTATTTTTAAGTTCATTTCAAAGAAATATCAGGAAGTGTGTGTCATCTTATATCTGTTATGACCAGTTTCAACTGCTAATTGCTTGTTTATGAGTGAGCAATTTTAGTAGGGCATTGTATAATGCTGGTTGCCTACAACAAGGGGCAATAACTTTCAAAACTTAAAATCCTACTATTCTAAAAAGAAACATTTTTATTTATACAATGTTAAAAAAAAGTTTATCTTTATCTTCACAGTAGCAAAAATCAGGTTCTGCTCTATTTTCCATTTGAATAAGTCAGGTCATCATCATAACTTTTAATTTTTTCTTTTGGTTTCAATAACACAAACCCACTTTCATCAGTTTCCTTGAAAAAATCGTCAAAATCCATCTGAAAAAATATTAGTAGTAATTAGATTAATTTGTATCAAAATTAATTATTCTTACTGGTGGGCATCTCATTTCGGTACAAGAATATTGCCGCCCATCTTCACTGCATTTGCAAGTGTTGCAATCGATTTTGAATTTAGATAATGGTTTACAAATCGTTGAGTCTAAACAAATATTGACAATTAAAATTTAACTAAAATAAAATTAATTTACCAGAAGTCGTAATAAAAAAACATATCAAAAGTGCGAGACACGCAACAAAAACCGTTCCGTTGAATAACTTCATTTGTTGTTGGAATTTTTACACTGATATGATACTGCGATATGTTCACTTTATGTAGCAAAGTCACGTGCCGTAGAAGGGACAATTTTATAACTTTTTATCAAACATGTAATTACAAGTAATTTTAATAAATATGTAAACAAGCAAAATTAATTAGAAATCTGGTTTAGATGTTGCTAAAAAAAGTGTGAGGCCCCAGAGGTAACTTCCGTTTTTAGAAATTGTCAACAGTCAACATTATAATTTAAAACAGAAAAAGTTTATTTAGAAAAAAAAAACAATACAAAAAAATTATAATACAAGTAAAAATACTATGTCAACGAAATTAATACTAATTCGTTCAATTAAAGAAAAAAATTATTCTGCAAAGTCCTAAAAACACAGGTAAAAGGGGATTTCATATTAATTTAATTGTATTTATTTACCTTTAAATAAATTGTGACAGAAGTCTTGCTATTACAGCGTGAATCATTAAAGAAATCGAATCGTCTTCTATTTAAATAAACAACAAAAATGAAAATGATGAGAAGTAAAATACTGATTATAATCCCCACTATTGCAGCTGCAGAAACCGTAGATACTGTTTCTTGTTTCAACGAAAAACAAGCTTCTGGTAAATTATACAAAACAACAGATTTACAATTTTCATCCTGAAATTGAAATTAAGCAAAATGATACTTAAATTAAATTTCTTCACCTCAAAAAGCTTTCCAATTGTCTTATTTTTACCACATTTCAATAAGACTTCGAATTCGTATAAACCTAAAATTGATTTTTACAAAATATAAGCTTTGATTTACATAATAATAATTTACCCTTTGAACCACAAACAATTTGGCTGGAATATTGCAACTTAATAATCTGCGATGAGTAATTGAATGATGTCGTGGGGCACATTTGTGGTACTACTGTAACGTAATTCTTGCAAAAAATACCGACACATTTTGAAATATCTTGATCGAAATTAATTTGAAATTTATTACTTTTATGGAGTATCTAAAAAACAAGAAGAGTATTTATTAAGTCTTTTTAAAGCATACCACTTGTGATTTCAGTTCATTTAAATTAAATTCGTATCCTGTGTTAAAAATTGTACAGTTGCGTTCCAATTTTTGGGGTTTTGCAGTTAACAATGTCACATTTTCAATGACATACGGAACGTGTTTTTGTTTCCTGACAACCAATCACATTTGATGTTACTAGTTCCGCCTCTTACTCCGCCCACACTTACCTAGGCAGATTTTCAATCGTAAGATTTTCTTTCTGTGGACATGCATGTGGAGTTTTCCATTCAAAATTGTACGTACACGATTCTTGCGACACAAATTTTGGTGGAAACTAAAAATTTGACAAAATAAAATAATATTTTTTGAATTTTTTTACATTTATTTCGGAACATTCAAAGTAGATAACTGATTTGTAATAGCCTATGTCGGCACAAAAGGCACCCATTGGTGCTTCAATTATCAAACTGTGACCTTGCAGGCGTGGCCCCGCAACTCCCCCTATTGATACATACCTACAAAAAAATAATTATTAGAAAAATTACTTTTAATAATTTCGTACTGATTATTAATATTAAGTTCAGATTTATTTCTCTTGCAAAACATGGTATCGCCCCTACATAATGCCCCAGGGCCACTTATAACAGGTCCACAAACATTAAAAACATATTCGATGTCTTCGTCTCCGGGAATCACATAATTTTTATTTTTTAAAATGAGAGGCGACAAGTCGTACGTCACGTTTGTGTGTATCATACATTCGGAAAATTTTCGTTGTGAAATACAAGCCAATGGTGTAAATACGGTCACAAAATACTTGCAATCATTTTCAACCTAAAAAAATATTATTTTTGGCGCCAAATTCAAATCTGTTAACAACCTCATCAATTTCTGGTGAAAGGGGTGGATTTTCGTAAATACAAATTAAGTTGACGAAAATTTTACTTCGTTTTGAGTCATTTAGACACGAATTCCCTGTAAATTCCATTTTTAGCAATCCGTTATCACTGATTATTTCCCTCGAATCATAACCAATGACGATTTGTTTATTTTCTTTTATTAGACAAAAACTAACGTTTGTAAAATTATTGCAAGACTGATGAATTGGGCCACACAAATTGTAAATTAGAATAGTTTTGTTATTTGGGGACAGAGAATACTTTCTGTCCAAATCGGTATAAAGTTTTTTCAAGTTTCGATTGGATAGCCTGTTTTGCAAGTAACAGTTTTGACTATTGTAAAACTAAAAAAAACATATTTAAAAAATGTTATAAGAGTAGAGAAATTAATATATTACGTCAACAGGGCACGCCTGAGGGGTTTCCCAGATTAAAAACATTGAACAATCTTTGGATTCAATAAAAACCGGTCCTTTTTCACTTGCGGAACATTTAATTGTAATTTGAGTGCAATAAGAAAAACTCGAATTTTCTTGACATTTCGAGCCGGATCTAAACGTGGCTGTAATAAATTCGTCGGTGGCTTCAAAAATTGATAAAATACTGCCCTTATTTATGTACTTGTTGTCGATCACGTGACAAACTTGCGAATGCTGTGCTACAATAAATTTTAAGTTGGCAAAAATGACTAAGAGTTGGTCAACCTGTCAAGAAAAACACTGTTTTCAAATTAAGGGAACTTACTAGAACAAAGACTTGGAGGCAGTTTCAGTGGTCCACAAATATTCAGAAAAATCCTGCCTTGGGGAACCCCCTGAACCGTCCAACCGTCCAACTTGTACAATTTTCTCAAATCATAATTCAAATTATGAATGCTTGTCAAAAGACAATTGTGGGGTAATTTAATACAACCATACGTCGATTCTAACTCGAATTTGTAATGTCTACCCTGTGTTTTCACTTTTCTATAAACCGGATTGGCCAAATTTGTCTCCCAATTACATTTAATCAAAATGTGCACATCTGCTTCAACTTCTAAAAATACAGAGTGAAATAAATGTTTGAACAAAAAGTCTATTGGCAACACTGAATGATTGGTATTCTAACATTTCTAACCCTAATTTGTTTTACCGGGATGTTGTCCCCAGTCCAGATGAATGACAATTGCTTATAAAAGCTTGACGTTTAAATTTGAGAGTTAAGGTTGTCAGAAGATTTTAATTATACAAGTTGCCAACTTAATTTCAAAGCAGACTACTTAAGTAGAGTTACGGGCAGTATTTTTCTGTCACTTCAAAAAGTTCACTGTAAACTACCTTTTACTATCATCATGACTGACATTTGACAATACAGTTGGAGACAAAATACTTTGGTCGTCAATGTCACTTAAATGACATTAAATTGTAAAGCATGCTTTAGGACTGTTAACCTTATTTTTAGCTCCTGTCAATTATAGTCCACAAGTTGTATGTACATACAGGTGTGCCAGAACTCGCGCCCCAGAGAAAAATGCCATATAATGTGAGATATCAGGAACATGGAAAAAATGTTAAAAAAAATATCTGTAAAAATTTCAAAGTTATGAGGGTTTAAAGTTTGCACTTTGACTCTATTTATTTATGTTGGAAAAATAATTTTCTAAGTTTTTTTGCTACAGGTTATTAGAAGAGGAAGCAAGGAATCTACATTCTAAATTGTAACTTTGTTCAATGTTATTTGTGGCTTTTATTAGTAAAATTTTTGTACTTTTACTAAATAATTGTAAAAAAACATATACAAGATCATCAGTATCATTAAATAGACATCAAAAAACGTCAAATGTCAAAAAATAAATGTCAACATTTTTTGACAGATAGAGTTTTTTAAACATTTTTTCCATGTTCCTGGTATCTTATCTTACTTGAAAATTTTCTCTGGGGCGCGAGTTCTGGTGCATCCTGTATTTCTGATAGGAATATAATAGCTGTCATTAATTTGAAATTGTCATTCATTTTAACTTTAAAGTTTGAATTACATTAAAGTGTCAGAAAAGTGACGACCAAAGTATTTTGTCTCCAACTGTACTATAGTATCACAACTGGCAACACTGGATGTTTAGCTTCGTCTGTGACGTCACGACTAATAGCGTGTATTAAACTTTTCTGTCAGTGACGCTATTTTATAAGTCAAAATGACATGAACATGACAAGAATAAAAGTTGTTTTAGAGTTTAAATTGTGAAAATGACAACAATGCCCGAAATTATAATTCCGCATCTGTATACTCGTTTTCATATTAATGTGCATTGAAGTAGTCGTTGAAAGAGATTATTTTAAGATAGCAACCATGCAAAAATTCAAACAATCCTAATCTCAATTTTCAATAAAAATAATGTTTTCTAAATAAATAAATAAATGTGTCTCCAGGTAGCAAAAAATAATTAAAATTAACAAAAATAAAGATTTTTGTCCTCATTGAAAGGGATAATTTTAAGGTGGTAACCATGCGAAAATTCAAACAATCCAAACCTTAATCTTCCCTAAAAATTATTTTCTCAAATAAGTATGTATATCCAAGTTTTTGAGGTAGCAAAAAATAATTAAAATTAACAATGGCAAACATAAAAAATTGTATCATTATTGATGTGATTAAATTTGTTCTGAATGACATTAAATAAATACCTCCTGGTTTCCTGTAATTCCCTCGTGCTGTAAGCCCATTCTCATCGCCCCCATAGTTAAAAACAAGTATTTGGGAGTCGATTGAGGCCAAAGGTGTAATAGTCCCGTCTTGATTAATTTCGCACGCACTTACATCTCCTTTACATTTTTTGTTTGAGCCACAAAGACTCAAGCTAAACTGTCTCGAATCTGATTCGATTAGGATATTTTTCGGAAATTTTCTGATATCGATGAGTGAGTCTTGAACAGTTTCCGTACACCTAGGATGGCAATCAGGCTTCATCACTGATATTTCAAAACTGCACTGATTATCTTGAGCCACAAGCCGTGGCTTCGGTTTAATCAAATCTGAACAATCGAGAATAATCGAAATTGAGTAGTTTTGATCAGATTTGGGGCATTTATCACCGTTTAAGGACACTAGAACCGGGTCGTCAGAATCGGCTTAAATGAAACGAATTAAATGGTTTTTATTGGATTTAATTGTCGCATGGTACCTGGAACAAACTCGTAACCTAAATCAATCATTTCAGTGCTGTTTTTGCGGAAAAGACAAGACGTAGTTTCATTTCTGCACGCTGGTTGCACAGATTTACACACAGAAAAATGTAAAATAAAATCACGGGTTTCGATTGTCCATAATTTACTATGAACCTTGTTTTTATTGTCTTGTGCAAGTTTGAGAGACTTACCTGGAAAAGTCCATTTTTTTCTTATCCAAGAAGGTAAACTCGCAAGAGGTGTGTATATCGTTGAGGATTAGAGGAACAGACAGTGTGGATAATATCAAATAAAATAAAGATATTGTTAATAACCAAACAGCCATTTTAAGGTCACTTGTAATTAATGCCGAAACTTTACTGTTTTTAAAAAGCGTAATTTAGATTTTCGAGTCAATTAATAAATTCTAAAGTTCATGTGCTGTAACTAACCACCACTGTATGTATCAGATTATAACGACTAAATGATAAAAGCACATAATACGTCTTCTTGTGTTGGGTACTTTACCGGTTCACGCGTGAGAAGTGTTTTAGATGTGCGAACACATAGCGAGAGAGATAAAAAATATCGCATACGCTAGCTCAACACCTTTAGTCTAAAAAGAACGCAACATCTTTAATTTCACAATTTCTTGAAATGTATTGTAGGAGAGGTACTCGAAGATGATTAATTGAGTTGACAGCAGAACTAAGAGCATTTTTTAGTCAAAATTTAATTTCACCAGAGTTGTAATGTTAAACTACGTATTGTAAAAATGACTAGTTGTGTGCTCTTAAACAAAAAATATTTAACGTTTATTTTGAATACCTGTGATATAGTACGTGTATAGTTGGTTGCCTACCACTAAAACAATTAATAAGGCTTTGTTATTTTTTATGAAACTGTTCTGTTTAAATAATACAAGGTGATTCACGAGGAATAATAAGCTTGACCAAATTCTCGATGCAACCACCATTATTTCTCGCAAGTTGCTTTGCGACAACTGTAATGTTGGTTGCATCAAGAATTTGGTCATGCTCATTATTCCTCGTGAAATTTTAATAAAGGAAGTTGGCAGTTCCGGTTTTTTGAATTAATTTGAAAACAATGTCATTAAACGTCAACACAAAAAATCGTCTAAGAAAATTTAGAAACCAAAAAAGGAACAAATTCGGTACCGCTAACAGTTTTTAGAAATTTGGAAACGAATAGTTCGCAAACAGGAACTTAGATAAAGGGCCCGTTAAAATGTAGACACAATTTGTAATGCAGGTTTGCTAAACATTCTCAATTTTTAGCAAGAAATTGACAAGAATGCAAAATAAACATGAATGAGAAAGAACCTTGGAAAGAATGCAATTAAATTAGTGTCTTGTGCATCGTTTGAACGAGTTGAAACAATAACAATTTTGAAACTAAAGCTAAAAAAGAATTTATAAAATGCATCAACTTTGAGCTTATTTCAATAAATTACACAAAATTTATTGCCAATCATCATAATACCTACTTGTATCTTTTGCTAAATAACTTTTTTCTGTATATACATCCTTTTTCATTAAAGTTTTTGTAGCAAGAACCTCATTTTTGTCCACAACATACTTGCGGTGTGTTTCTATCAAAATTATTAGCACTGAATTCTGTCTTTAGACCTTGCGCTTTCAAAGAGCAAACAGGCACACCAGATTCATAAAAGTAAAAATTTTGACAACATCTCAATTTGAAAACATAACCATAATTTTTTAACAAAATTTCTAGGGACAAAAACAAAGAGCAAACAAAATTTGTGGCTATGGAGACAAGCTGCTACCAATTTTTTCACCAAAATTTTGACATGGTAATTTTCATTCAAAGAAAAAACAGACTTTATACAGAGTGTTTCACATAACTTTACGAGACTTGCGCCTAATGTGCGCACCCAAATATACAAAAGTCACAGAACACTGGATACAAAAAATACACATTTAATTATTTAGTTTTTGGAAACCCATGTCAGTAGTTGTCAAACTAATCACTATGTCATTAATAGTCATAAACTGCAGTTTTTCAGAAACAAATATCATTTGTTCTATCAAGAGACGGCATGAATATGATTCTAGTTTATCTATCCTAATCACTAACTAACAAAAAACGTTGTAATTTTTCAAAAAGGTGAACAAACTACAGAAGATTATCCAATTTTTCAAAATTTGTAATCGAGTTCGTATCGGAATATGTATCACTGATTGTATCTTACAGGCGCAGGGCTAGTAAAATTATGTGAAACACCCTGTATATTACATAGTGCAACAAATGAATAAACGAATTATCGTCAAATTGACAATAACATAATAATATGTCAAAATTATAGTGATTTATTAATAAAATCATTAAATGAAAATCAAATAAGTGGCAATTCAAAAAGCACTGCTTTTTGTAAGAAAATATGTTGCTTCAAGATTTAACCAAATGTGTAAATAAAAGGAGGTAAACCACATTTATTTGAAAAAGTACCTACTTTTCATTTTCTTTAGACAACCATGTTAAAAAACACATTCTTATTTGTATTTATGTATTTCATAATATCTGCAAAATATCACACAAATGGTTTAAAATGTGAACTAAAAGGTGTGTTGAAGTTTCCTCACCTTTTCACCTTCCAAATCATTTTTTTTTAGGGTTGGTAAATAACAGAGTACAGTGTATACTCCATGACCGAGGAATCAACCCCTTCGATACAAGCGAAAACAGCACCGCTCGACTATTGAAAAAAATGCAAAAAGATAGGGAAAAACCAAAAGCAGTCATTTGGAAACACACTTTTGGTCTGGATTCAAACAAAACTTTTTTCCCCGGAAATGACCCAAACGAATTCAAAAAACACATTCGTGCCACCATCCCAGGTACTTAAGTACAAAGAGTTCTGCAAAAAACATAAAAACTAATAAAAAATAGGCACTAGGTGGTGTGGAGATGGAGACAGAGAGGGTGCCTTATCCTACGATGATTTAATGGTGTTTCTCCGCACCGAAAACTGTTGTAAAACACATGAAGCGTGCGTTTTGGTCATTGAAGGCAAGGAAAGTAAATACAAATTAATAAATGAGGGATTATTGAGGAGATATCACTGCGAATGCGAAAAGAAATTCCGCGAGTGTTTGAAAAATGCCCGAAATAATATTGCAAATAAAATCGGATTCACGTATTTCACCCTTTTTGGGCCGCAGTGTTTCAGGGAAGATTTTCCAAAAACAAACTGTACAAAAACGATAATGTAAGCGAAAACTACAATTGATTTAAGTTGTTTTATATGTTTTATAGGGGTAGATGTGCCGATTATGCGTATGAGAAAGAAAAAGATAAAAAATACCAGTGGTTTGATATTGCGACGTATCACTGAATTATTGAGTTATTGTAATAACAGTGTATAATTATTTTTTGACAGTTTTTTGTTCAGAATTCACGTGAAAAACGGAAAATAACTCATGATTTGTAATAAATATCCATTACGGAACACATAATTGTATCATTAATGATGTTTGATAAAAAAAGAAAAACCCTCATTTATTGCGTCTATAATTATACACCAATCAATCTAACGTTCGAAATTACGGATTCACAACATTGTTATTACTGTTGCATGTTTTATTTTTCTGTATAAAAAGAGGAAGGATCAAAACTGGTCCAAACGTGAAGTGCAATCGTTGACAAAGGTAATTTTTAGACGGGTATTGGGAGTTAGAATTTAACTATAATAGCCAGATGGGGTTGGAAAAACTAATCTTAAAGATAGTCCTCATGTTTGTCCTATTCCTAACTGTCTATGCTCGTAGATGTAGAACTCGTAACAGAACTAGAATATGTGTAAAAAATGAGGTATGTAAAACGTGTTGTTTTACCAATTTTCATACGAAAACTCCAGCCATCGTCGATTTTTATTGACAAATTATTGTCTTCTTTGTAAATATGACGACTCCGGAATGGATCTCTCACAACCTTTTCCAAAAAGCTCTCAATAACTATTTCAACGAAAACCTCCAACTTGTCACTTTTACAAGCACCAATGCCGTACCAGAGGGTGAAAACTACACCAGTGACCTTTTCCGATCAACCCTTATTTACATGAATCCCAAAAAGTTAGCTCGCAGTATAAAATACCCCAAATGTCTTATAAAACTCCTTTTAGAAATACAAAACACACATTGTCTGTTATTGTCAAATGTGGTAACGAAGAAGGTGGTGTTAAAACAGATCTGGCTAAAAAACTACATCTCTTTGACAAGGAAATCGAAATGTTTACTCGGACATTCCCGGCAATTTACGAGATTTTGGGTAAGTAACAAAAAACTAATTTTGGCAAAAATTGTTTTTTTTTGCAGGTGAGTACTACACGCTTTCATCCAAGTGTCTCTACGCCTGTAATGAGTCCCATTCGGTCATCATTCTCGAAGATCTAACAACTCTCAATTTTAAAATGTTGCCAAGGCATATCGGTTTTGACGTCGAACATTGCTTCAAAGTTGTGGAAAAAATGGCCCAAATGCATGCAGCTTCGGTAATTATGTATGAAAATGATCCTTCTTTGGTTAAATGTTACTCAGAGGGGTTGTATGCCGACAACGAAATGATAAGAGAGTGGGTGAGTAATAAATAATTGTTCAATAAGCGCCATCTATGACGAAAATTGACAGGTAAGTGCCGGTTACGCAGCCTTAAGTGATGCTTGTAATCGGTGGCCTGGTTTCGAAAAGTACGGCTACAAGCTATCGGCCCTTGGAGATGAAGCCCTTGAGCGTGGTTTCAAGGCTACTAAGAGGCGACTCGGGGGGTTTAATGTCCTCAATCATGGGGACTTGTGGGTGAACAATATGATGTTCTTGTATGAGCAAGATGGCAAATTGAAGGATATGCGTTTTGTCGATTTCCAAATGAACATTTTTACAAGTCCTGCAATTGATTTGCACTATTTCATAGCGACGAGTACTAAAGTTGAAGTCAAGTCTGATTGCGTTGAGATTATTTTGGACCATTATTATGCCCAATTGTTGGCTAATTTGGCTAAATTGCAATATTCGTTAGAGAGAGTTCCGACACGGGAACAATTCAAGAAAGACTACAATGCGAGGGCGTTTTATGGTCTCATGGGGGCTGCCACAGTCTTGGCTTTTGTCAAAGCGTCGAGCCGAAAAGACGCCTCTTTTGAAAATGTGATGAGAGATGGAAGTTTGGATGGGTTTCGTTACCACGCTTATAACAATGAAAGATATAGGAAGCACATGGAACACTTGTTACCCTATTATGATAGTTTTGGGATTCTGGACTAATTAAAATATTATGTAAATGAGTAAAATCGTTTCAATTTCCCGCTTATCCCTTCATAACCAATTGGAACGCAAATCGTGGTCACGTGAGCCGAAACAAAATTGGTATTTTGAAACGAATTCAATTGTTTCTGCTTTTTCACTTTATGTCAATTTTATTTTTTTTCTAGACAATAAAATGCAAAATTCATTTGAAAATAATAACACTGGTTAGTATTTGTAGTAATAAAAGTATTTTAAATAAATTAATGTTTTTGGGAAGTAAAAGAAGATGCGGAACAGCGGAAAAATGGCAGCACTAAAGTCCTTTCAAGGACTACAATGTAAGCTAATTAAAAGACAATTAAGTTGTTGTAAAATTGTTCGTAGCGCAAATCTTGGTAAAACTCGGACTAGTACATCGATAAAAGTTGATCATTCAAAGGATAAAGAATTAATTAATAGTGGATTTCAAAGATTAGTGTCAAATGTTGCGTTAAAAAAAATTGTTAACAAGCCGTCAAAAGTGCTTACAATTAAGAAGAAAGAAAGCAAAATGTTGTCGTCATCTGTTCCGACTACAATTCCAGATCGGTACTTAAGTGCTTAATTATGTTTAATTTATTCACATTTTTTTTGTAGAGAATTAAACTCCCATATTGTATTGACTAAACAAATGTCTGTTGATAAATACACAATGACTGATTTTGAAGAAAAAGGACAAAGAGTAGATTTAGACTCGTCGGTTTTTAGCGAGCAACCTTACAGGTTTAAAATTAATTTCTTCAATAGGGTTTTAAACAACAAATTACAGGGATCTGCAGTGGACAGATCCAAGACTTTTAAAAAAATATTCCTTGTACAAACAACCCTACAAAAAGTCCCTCACGATTCCTATTGTAAATAAATCGGAATATGGTTCAGATGTAATAGAAAACTCGGACGACGACGCTGAACTTTTTTATTCGAAACATGAACATTTTTTATTTAAATGTGGGTTATTCAACAATGAAAAACTATCATTTATTCAATTTCTTCCCAGGTCTTTATTATTTTAGTAAAACTTCTGTTTCATTCGTCGGAGTCATGTGTGGTTTAACATTGCTTACTGTAATCTTGTGGAAAATTCTCGACGAGCAATTAATTCAACTTAATTTTACCTTAGAAGCACCTAAACACGCCTTGTTTTTTCAGAGAAATCTCGTACATCTTATAAGAACTGTAGTAAATGTGGTCCAAACTCTCTTTGGAAAATTTGTGCGAGTGTTAACCATGACGGTGAGAAAAACAAGAGATCCGGAAATGATAATAAGTGATCAATTTCAGACAAGTGAAGCATTTGCGAAAGAAACCGACCCAGGAACGTGGTACAGTTTATATTGAAATTTGAGTCATTTTGTCAATATTTTTTGTGAAGAGTGAATAAAAAGTAATGATAATAATGAAAATTTATTGGTGTCAAATTAAATACAAATTATGCGCGTCTATTAAACGTGTTTGCAGTAGGTTGCGTTAACTGCAACCCGCTGATATTGTTGAAGTCGAGCATCTTCAACATCTCTTTAGTCTCTGGATCAACTTCAATAATATCGTGCTCCAGAGCAGAGACTTCAGGAACGAAGTTATCCCTTCTTTCCCTCTCTTCCTCTTGCAATTTGATGGAAATTCCACGGACTTGGGAATGGCGAAGTCGCTTCATCAAATGGGTTACAAATCCCGCGATTTTGTTACGCAGAGGTTTGGTCGGGATGATTGCGATTTCCTCACAAATGCGTTTGTTGGTGTGGAAATCAAGAGTTAAACGAGTGTAATATTTCTCGATTATTACTTTCGATGCCTTTTTCACGGTTTTTGTACGTACGCGACCCATGGTGCTGGAAAACACACACCGTCAGAACACAAATGGTCTAACCTAACAATATTTTCAAATAAAGGCCTTCAATAAAGGCACAAAGCACGCTAATGTTACAACAATAGCGTTGCGTATTGTATATTAAGCAAATTTGAGTTATTTACCTGAATATTATTAATTTTTGCCGTACAGCAAAACGTGGTCACTGCGAACTTGTCACAAAAAGAGGGCGCTCGTGGCACAACTTTGCCAACGTTCCGAATCAAAAGTAACTAACTGAGTTGGTAAAAAATTAAAAAAAACATTTTTTTTTTATAAATTATTACATTTTATTTAAGTACAATCAACACTAATTGCTTAAAAATTAAATGTAGGTGCGTCTTCTGGGATTGTGCACCCTCTTCTTTTAATAATTTCTTCTGCAGCATAATTTCCTAATTCACAACATGTTTTAAGTGGCTTTTTGCAGAGATATCCACTTAAGAAACCTGCCACAAACGCATCCCCAGCACCTGTCGTATCAACAATTTCCTCACTCTTTATTGGTGGTACTTCAATTTCCACAAAAGTTTTACCTCCATCTCCAACACATATCACAGAATTGGCACCATCAGTGACTACCACAGTTTTTCCCAGTTTACCCAAATTTCTAATGAAATTTTCAACACAAGTCTCATTCATAGACAAACAAATTGTTTGAAATTCCCTCTTATTACCAAAAATTATTGCAGACTTTTGGGCAAAATCAATAACGGTTTGTGTGTAGTCTGTGCATAAATATTGCCCTGACAAGTTAAATACAAATTGTTTGTTGAGCTGATTACAACAGTCTATGATAGCGGAAGCAACTTCGATTCTTTTTGTAATAAAGAACCCTTCCATGTACACCAAAGTCGCGTCTTGAAGTTGTGAAATGATTTGCGAATTTGATGAAAAATCATCAGGAGACATTACTTCAGCAGCACCTAAATAAGCAACTAGAGATCTGCTTTCCCCTGTAACTAAAGCCACAGTTGATCCTGTAATGTAACCACGCTGTGTAACATAATTCGTGTCCACTCCGTGTTTTTCTAAAATTTGTTTCAAAGTTTTTCCCTCATTGTCGTTTCCAATAGCCCCAAATATTGTAGCACAACATTTTTGATCCAAAAGCCATTGCATCACCTTGAGTGTGTTTTGTGCACAACCACCAGCCACGAAAGTTTTCTCATATCTAAGGAAAAACCAATTATGTTGTTTTAATAACAAAGTGTTTATGATTTTACTCTTTAATGTCTTCTATCAATGCCTTCATTTCCTTCTGGCTAACTTCTTTTTGACCGTCTTTTTCCAAAAAATATTTTTTCAAAAGAGCGTCGTCTTTTAATAGGACAATTGTGTCCAACAAGGGGTTACCGAATGCAACAATTTTCATTTTAATTGTTTAAAAAAACAATACACTATAGCCAATCACTTTACGAAATAGTAGAAAAATAGAAAATAATAATGTAATTATCAAACTGTTTGTAAAAAAAGATTTTAAGTTATCATCAAAAAGCGATTCATTTTTCATGGCCAGTTCGCGATATAGTCTAAGAGCCCGTGGTCGCCAGACCTTCCACATTTTTAAAAGATGAAAATTTGTCAGCGCATACTTCCAATACAGGTAGGAACGATGGGCAAGTATGAAGTTTGGGTCATCGTGGCTTTGGGAGATAACAGGTAGCAAAAAAGTAAAAAATACCAACTTAAATTTATCAAATAAAAAAGCGTAATTTTTTTTATATTGTCTTCGGAATAATATTAGAAATCTATTGTCAAACACTTAATATCGTGGCAACCCCTTGTCATACACCCTTAAACTTTAATAAATTGTAACTGTACTTACGTTACAGTGTAAAAGCTGAATTTTATACATGTTACTTAGGTAACTATTGGAAGATGTTGTCTCATTGGCCAGACAGTTTTGACAGTTCTAAGTGCTAAGTTCTAAGTTTTAAGTAAAATAAATATGATTCACTTTTGACAAAGTATCATCATGGGAGCTACCCTATATGTTTATCTGGCCAGGGGTAAAACTGTCGAAACTGTCTGGTTACTGAGAGAAAACATCTTCTAATAGTTGTCCAAGTAAATGTATAAAATGCAGCTTTTAAAACAGTTACATGAGGTGATTTCTAATATTATTCCGAAGAAAATATAAAAAAATTACGCTTTTTTATTTGATAATTTTAAGTTAACATTTTTTATTTCTTTGCTACCTGTTATCTCCCAAAGCAACGACGACCCAAACATCATACTTGCCCATCGTTTCTACCTATGTTGGTATAGCTTGTTCCAAATCTGGTAACGAACTGACGTTGTCAAAAATGATTGAATTTTGACACTACACATATGTTTACTGTTAAAAAAAATATTGTTCATAGGTGTCGTATGAAATAATATTTCAAAACCAGTAAGTAGGTACTCGTACATAAGATGAAGAATGATGAACAAATTATTAAATTTTTAATACATGGAAAGAATTTTCAAAAATGATATTCCTAACTATCCTTGTCTTCAAAATTTTTAGAGAAAAAAAAATACGCCCATGTATTTTTTTATCTTAACCAAGTGGGCGCACTCCAAGTGTCTTTTCTGTCACTGTCATTTCGCCACCAGAAATGGAATGAGCTTTAGTATGCGCTGACAAATTTTCAGCTTTTATAAAATGACGAAGGTCTGGCGACCGCAGGCTCTTGCTCTAATAATTTTCATCATCAAATATTTAAGCCACCTTGCTTTTCCCCTACTCTTATCATTACGACATCAATTATTTTTATCTGTATATTTGCTCTGGGTGATAAAGAGCTATTATTGAGGTTGAATGGTTGACTTCAGGAAGAACAAATCAAAAAATTAATAATTCTGTTTGCACGTTGGCACCACTTGTAATGCAGCAATATGGAGGACTGACTGACTGACAGTCCTGTCAGTTTTGTGGTGTTGTGTCAATATTTGGTGGTGATTGGGTGATATTTTAATTGTAAACGAAAAAATTGTTTTGTACATTTTTATCATAAATGACGTCTGGCAAGGACACAATGGGGTAAATAACAAATCTTTACAAAAAAGTTTCACTTTTTATTTTAATAATAATTAAAATAATTAGATTCATTCTTAATTATTTAACTGGAAAAAGTGCGAAAAATCACTACTTGTTTCTGTGATTTTTTTGTTGAAATAGTCTTTGGTTTGTCTCCAGTCCTGACTCTTGACCACTCCCCCTTGCAGACCTTGTGGTAATTTTTGAAATTTCTTTCCAGTGAACAACCTATTTTTACATGTAAAGCCCACGTTTTTCACATTGATCCGAAGACAAAACGGTCATGGATGCCGGCATCTAGTTCAGCAGTCAGTGTTTCATTTTTTTACGATTCCTCACGAAGTCTATACAGAATCATCAGTGTTGAAGGCCAGAAAGCTGTTATAAATAGTACAGTTACCCCAAATATGACCTTTACAAAGACGTCGCAAAAATTTGGACAATGGTCAGACGTGAGAGCCAACACTGTATATGGATTGGGCTTTTCTTCAGAGACTGAACTTCAAAAGGTTTGACTCTTTCATTGGCAATGAAAAATCAAAGTTGTCACGTGTTTTTTGACAGTTTATTGACAAATTCAATGAGGTGAAAGAAGCTACTAGATCAGCTATAAGTAAAGTCACTGCCAACGGTGGTTCAGCTGTAACACCTGTTACAAGCGCGAATGCCAGTCCTATTACCGCGAGAGCAGCCAATGCCACCCCAGATCAATCAGATAATCTACTCGAACCTCCTGGTTTGTCATCATTGACTAGATTTTGCAACAATTTTTCATATTTTTATGTAGGAAGTGCCGTAACTACATCTACACCTAGTGTTAAGTCGGACGACGACATCCCCCATCCCCGAAGTCACTCAATTTCCACACTGCAAAGTAACGAAAGCCCCAGTCATCAAATTAAACCGGATAAAACACAATATGGAAATGCCCCAACGAATCCAATCGATATGCAGCTGAAATACGAGAATGACAGACTCAAGTTGGCATTAGCACAAAGGTATGGCTCAATTTCATAACAAATTTATTAAATTGAGTACAAAAATTGAGGTATAAAAAGTATCACAAAAACAAATTAATAGTGTCCGCCATAAACGCCTCCGATTTGACCACCATGTTGGTGTGGTTCGCCAATTTTATGCACAACGGCGTTAAATCCGTTATGTTTGTCAGCTTTATATTCCACGACACGAGTAGTACCATCGGCCTCCTAAAAATTATCAATTATTTCAGTCTTGAGTCAATTTTTACAACCTTTAAGGTGTAGGTCCCTTTAACTTGGTCGCCATCGCGCTCTTCGATGTGTTGTTTCTCATCGCCGGTATGAGGGTCATGTACTGCGTAGTTGAATTGATATTTGGGGTGGTGCTACATTTGCCAAAATCAGTGAGAAATCACATAAATCATTCACTTACGTTATGGTGTTCCTCGTGGCCCCCATACTCGATTTCGCCCCCTACATGGCCTCCATAACCCTGCAATTCACCCAAATATTCGGCGTAAGCACCCAAGAAAAGGGTAGTGATGACGAACACCTTAAAAACAAGGATTAGTCACTGGTTTAGCACCACACAGGATTTTACTTTGAACATTGTTGATGTGTTGATGAACTGATGTCGAAGAGTGGTTGCGTTTGAGTTTTATAGTTGCCACCACACCAGAGCCTCCCTTCAATCTTCCTCACTTTCTCTGACGTTGCATCGGCTCGGTTTTTCGTTGCGAAAAAACGTTGCTGATTTGCCTTGTTGCATTCGAGACGCAATAAATTATAGGTTTGTGTATCGTCAGAAAAAGTGAAACTGTTACGCTTTTTTGGTTTATTGATAAGCACACATAAATTACACACTTCGTCAAAGACTTGTGTGATTTTTTTGCACATTGTTTAAATTTTTCGTCCATAAAATTTACTTCCTAAAGGAGGTTTTTATGTAATAGTTCTTTTTGGTTAAAATAACTGAATTTGGCAAGAGTAAATGACGACGTATCGAGAATCTATCTTTGATCTTGCAACAATTTGCACAACGTTCACGAAAGTGTAAATAAAACTTGCAGTGAATAAACTAATAAATGTAATTGGGTTTTGTAAAGAAATTGTGCGTGAATAATTCAATTCAGAGCTAATATACATATACATATTTATTTTAATTGCAATTTTATAGTACAGACAGTTATGAAAATAAAAAATAACACTTTTGTCAAACTATTTTTCTTGGACAACTTAGTTACGCTTTGTTAAATTATGCCAAATACAGGATGCGCCAGAACTCGCGCCCCTGAGAAAATTTTCAAGTAAGCTAAGATACCAGGAACATTGAAAAAACGTTTAAAAAATTCTATCTGTCAAAAAATTTTGACATTTATTTTTTGACATTTGACGTTTTTTTAATAATACTGATGATCTTGTATACAGGATAAATATAAAGTATGGAACCAAGCCGTTTTATTTTTAATCATTTACCCCCAGAAAATAATAATTAAGATAAATTAAAATAATATAAAAAATGTGATCGTATTTT